TTACAGGTCTTTATCTATATTTAAACCCTTCACAATTTTTATAAAGAAGATGATGCTTGTTTTTATTTATTGTATATTGTTTATCTACCATTTTGTTGTTTTTTTTTTTATTAATCGGGATATATTTATATGTTTAATGAAAAAATTTACTTTGTATTTCTAATGTGTAATGATAAACGTCACATTTGACGAAATATTTCATGATGTTGATCAGTTCGAAATCCAGATGAATAAAATATCGATATTAATGGATCCATTTTATGAATTTGGGCTTACATATCGAACTTTATGAAATTCATTAATTCATTTTAAAATTCACCAATTTACTCTTATTATATATTATCTTTAAGCAATGTTACGTTTATTAACTTAGTCATGCTATTATTTTCATATCTTAATTTTATCATTTGCTTACCTACTATATTAGGTAAATATTAATTATTTTCAATATGACTGAATGACCAAAACAATAAAAATTCGCTTTTTATATTTTGCAGACTTTTAAAACAATCAAAACTCATATAAAATTTTGTAAATATTTTTTGACTTAACATGTATGGATTCTTAACATAAAATAAATTAAACTCATTCGTTCAAAATCCTGTAATGAAGAAAAGTACATTTCGAATTTAGTGTTTTATGCTATACAAATGATTATTTCTGCTAATCATTACTTTTAATTGAATAAATAATATGTATTTTTTTTTTTAATATTACGTAAAGAGTTAAACAAATTCAAATTTATGCATGATTAAAAGCAATTTTTTAAAAACATTTTTTAGTCTTAGTTTTAATTAGATATTTCAATATTAGTTCTACTTTGAATTTAAAAAAATGAAAGATTTAATAACAGATTTGAACGAGGTTTAGCTTTTTCACTAGGATAATTTATTCGAATAATTAAATTAGACTTTTTTCAAGAATTTGACGTAAATTTTGTAAACGTATGGCAAAAATATTCCAATTTTATAAAGCTCTTAAAAATTTTTAAGTTTGATATAATCCACTAATAAATTGATCATTAAAAAAAACTGATAGAAATAAATGATAAAATATCAAAACTTTATATTGCTTGTAAACATCTTTACACTTGTGTAAATTTATAAATAATTAAATAAACATTGCATTTTTACTAAAAAATATCTTTATCAAAGTTAACCGTAAGAGAATAAAAGATTTTCTTCTAACTAGAATATGCAATATAAAATTTTATAGTATAAATCAGATAAATCTGTAACAGGTAATATTTGATATCTACCACGTAACTAATTACTTGCCAGTGCTTCCTCGACTTAATCCAGTCTAAATACAGTACTTCTAATTAAAACATGTAACAAACATTTCCTATTTTCGTGAATTTATAATTTATCTTTTACTTTTATCTTTTACAATTGAAGTGTTTGTAAATATTCACGAATAAAATAATTTGTAATTTTCATGATCTATAATCTCAAATTTTATTAAAAATGAAATAAAAGAAAACACCTAAAAAATGATATTAAAAGTATCAAAATATTCCTTGGCTTTTCGATATATATTATTTTAAAAACGAATTTCAATTAAATTATATAATTGAAAGAAATTAAATGAATATCAAATGATAAAGTTTAAACTTCAATATTTTAATTGTAATAGTATGATTAACAAATTGTCATCATTTAATAATTTTATTAGTCCTTGATTAATCTTTACTTGACCTGACTACTGCTGCTGTTCGTAAATTGTTTAAGGATTGTATTCCTTTACATTTTAATTATTTAGCACAAAATATCAATTTATGTCATATAATATTGCTCACATTTACTAATTCGTATAATATAACGTACTGTACAGTAAATATGATAGCCTGTTTCTAGTGATGTTTATTTATTGTAGTTGCATAAATTCCTATTCATTAAATTACAAACAGTATCGTTCTATTTAAACAAGATCTCATTTCAAGGTCGCTTATGATATATAAGACATTATAGAAACATTTCTTTCTGAATATTTATTAACTTTTATGATGATTGTAATACATACTAAAATAATAAAATAAATTTGAAATTCATAAATGCTATTCGATATGTAAAATATTCCACTAAATAAAATAAAGAAATTTTTATTTAGAATTAAAAAGAATAGAAATATTTTTATTATATTGTGTTTTTGTTATTATTTTTAAAGTAAAAGTCGATACAATTGGAGTATTCTGAAAACAAAGAAGTGATGCGATAAAATCGAAAAAATAAATAAATTCATGAAATTATTATTATTATTGAAATTTATCTGAAGAAATATAACTTTTAAAGCTCTACTCGTCCATTTATTTCTTCCTCTCTAAATGCTTCAATTCCTCTGAAACTGAATTTGTATAGTTTCGTGTACACTTCCCACAAACTATTATATCAATTTAATTTTCAGCTTCGTGTGTAACAGATATTAGTTACGATTTATTAAATTTAAAAATTAGTGTCATTAAATATATAAAAAAAAATATATATATTTTGGCCATTAAAACTGTGATATTACTTCTAAAAATAACATTTTATTAAAGATCGAAAATACACTATAAGAAATCGATTTTTGCGTAGGCTCATAAGTGAATGTTTTTTCTTAGAAATAATTGGAAATTCGTCTTGATATTAAAAAAATTCTAGACTCGACCTTGATAAGGATGAATTGGAATATTTAAATAACTAGCTATATTGTAGGTTACTATTTAGGTTACGCTCATAGCATATGGCTACATTTAAGGTTAATGAACTGTGTTAATACTGCAACGTTAAGTTTCCTCAGAGATGACACAGTCTTGAAAGGGCCATCAGTTACGAGATAATTACTTCATTATTTAAATAGTTATAATTAAATGTTTTGCTGGAAAATTACTTAATAATCCATGCGAAGTTATGCAACTCTTTTTACTTAAAGTTTATTATTGTAAATGAAGTGAATAATGATAAACTAAATCTGTGATTGTTTTTGAATAAGTTTACGAACATTAATATATGAGCTCACTTTTTTCTTGACTTCAGATTAAGAAAAAGTAAATAAAATAATATTTTTTTTATTAAATTACTCGAAATTTTCTTGACAAGTTTAATGTTTATAAAATATTCAATTTCTAATTTAAATTCTATGTTTAAGCCATGTTTAAAAAAAGAAATTTATTCACCACAAGCTGCTTTAATGGGTTAAGTATAATCCAAAAATTGTTCTACCATTCAATGTTTGAAGTAATCCACGTGTAATTTTGAATCCAGGTGAATGACTGAGACATGACTGTGGGCAAATAAAACCCGTATTACTTGTTGATAGTTATCCAACGGCGTCGCCTGTCTAACTGAGGTTCATGGCATATTCTTTTATGGCTTGAAAAAGTTTTCATTCATTTAAAATATAATTACTTATTCCTAAATCATATTTATTAATATTTAGATTAAGAAGATGGCTATGATTTGTATAAGAATCTTTTTTTTAGTATTAATTGTATATTTACAAAAATTAAAACTGAAGTAAATTCTGAACATTTTAATGTAATATCGAATATAGAAATTTATTTGGTAATGAAATAAAATTATTGAATTATATATTTTAGTAATTAATGTATATTAGAATTGTTTTTACGTATATAAAAGCGTATTATTTGCCAATTCTCTAGTGAAATATTCAATTATAAATCGAATTTTAAAATAATTTATTAGGGTAAATATATAAAAATTTAATTAAAAAAAAAAAAAATGTAGATGTTTCCAACTGTGAGACATGTGATGCATTGTACGGAGAGATGAGGAAAACAAAAGCTGCATTATTTGGCTGAACGGCTAAGCAGACAACGAGCGAAAGTAAATAGGTCACACGAAAAAATTTAAAATCTATAAATTTCCCCTTAAATAATTATTTTATTGTGACTTGTTGAATTTCTTTTATGATGATTTTGCAATAAAATTTTATTTGATGATGATAATAATAAATAAGCATGAAATTTGTGTTTTGAATCTGTTTATATTTTCTTCTTCAGTGGAAAAAAATATAAGACACGACTATATTTTCATACATAACTTTTTGCTTGACTAATTNTTTTATTATTTTATAGAATTTCATAGAATTTACAGACAAAAAATGTGAGCTCTTGCAAAACATCGCTATCAATCACAGCAATAAACTATTTAATAATTTCTTATCAGAAATTATAATCATTGATTGAAAATTTATTGTAATAGTACAAATTAATCTAAAAGCAACCTGTTCCCATTATGTTTTAATGATTAATATGTTGAGTGCTGATTTTAACCGAGAATATTTTTGGATGTTTACTAATCAATTAGTATTTAATATTGAATTTAATTTCTACTTACAAGTTTTGTCCTCACATAGTCTAAATGATAGAAGATTAAGGAATTAAAAAGAATGAATACTAAATATTCGTGCTTACAATATTTTTGTTCATTATTTAAAATATTTATTAACAACAAAAATAATCGTATGCTATTACTTATAAAGTTGTCCTATTCAGAGAACTTTGTAACTCCCAACCGATAAGCCAAGTGACGCTAAAATCGCTAAAATGTGTGTACACGACATTTTAAGGATGCAGTAAAGGATTTTGTAAAAAAATATTTTAGTTAGAAAATTGTCCGTTACGGGATAAATGGCGCTGTAAACTGCGCCATTGCTTGTTCAACACAATAGCCATGGTCATGTCTTTAACGGTTTCTGTAGTGTTAGGCTTTCGTCCCCTACCAGGTTAAATTCCTAAAGATCTAGTTGTCTCAACTCGCGTTACTATTTTCTTGATAACCTGTGGAAACATTGATCCGTGGCGAAAGGTCTTACGATGGCGACATTCGCTTTTTAATATATAAGAAATTTAACGTTTTTATAATAAAATTAGTATATTTTTAAAAGTATAAATAGAGATTAATATAATTCAATTAAAACTTTAATTCTTTAATTAAATAAAGTAAACAATATATCCTTTAACTCCAATCAATTAAAATATGTATATATAAATTTTTCAGATGATATCTAAAATGTTTCAAGAACTGAGATATTCATCAGAAGCTGCTAAAACTATCAATAAGAGTAATGGAAGATTCGTTACTATGAAACCCCGTGCCCCTACAGTAGCAGCAAGATTCCACGATTCACTTCAATCTCTCGTCGATACTATGACCAAGTAAATATAATTTTTCAAATAAATATCATTTTATTAGAATTTAAATAATATTAAGACTGTGCTTTTGAATAGATGCAATCCATGGTTTGTTCGTTGTATTAAGCCAAATAATGACAAAGCTCCAATGAAATTCGATATGCCAATTGTATTAGAACAATTGAGATATACGGGAATGTTGGAAACAATTCGAATAAGAAAGTTAGGTTATCCAGTTAGGATGAAATTTCAACAGTTTGCTGAAAGGTATTTTGTTATTTTATCTTCTCTACATATAATAATAGGCGATTAAATAATTTATTATTATTTATATCATATTTACAGGTTCCGATGTCTAGTACCAGGAAGAGTACCTAGAGGTGCTCCTTCTAGGGAAGTGTGTAAAGTCATCCTCGATAGGTTACCAAAGTCTCGTGATCATTACCAATTAGGAAGCTCTAAAGTAATTTGTTAAAATGCGTTTAATTATTTTAGGATTAACAGAAATTTATCATTGAATACTAATTTTCAATATATAAAATAGGTATTTCTTCGAGAAATGTTAGAGCAATCCTTGGAAAAGGAAAGAGTGAACGTACTGAAGAGTTCTGTGATAACTATACAACGTCATGCTCGAGGATACTTGGCTCGAAAGAAATACAGAAGTATGCGTCGTAGTGCAATCAAGATTCAAGCTACTTTTAGAGGATGGAAAACAAGGTTTTTTTTTTTTTATTAATAATTAGTTTGTATTCAGTTGCTTTTAAAATCAAATTTAACAGAATATTTTTATTGGTAGAAAATATTATAAAACAGTCAGGAAAGGTATAGTGAAAGCTCAAGCATATTACAGAATGCAAAGACAGAAGAAAGAATATGAAAAGGTACTTTATAATCGATTAATTAAAAGCCATTTTACACAAGGACCACATTAATTCTTATTTTTTTTCTTTTCTTTATTATTATATTTAGATCAAAGCTATTTTGGAACGAAGACGTGAAGCTGAAAAGTCCGCAATTATTCGCGCAAAAGAGAAAGCTGCTCGAGATGAACAAGAAAGAGTGTCGAGAGCAGTTGCAGGAGTAAATCATTTAGAAATTCCTGCAGAATTAGCATTTATTTTTAGCAAATTAGACGGTATATAAACCTTCATATAACTGTTGTAACTTAGATTTCCTAATGTTATTTTTATAAAATAAATAAATTTTTCAAATAGATTGGAATTGTATTCACAACGATCGGAATATCATTAAGGCAGTTGGTCAAGTTGTCAATGTTCCAACACCAGAATGTAGATTGCCTTACGATATCGACCAAAATGCCTTCACGAAATTTACGAATGTATATTTTAAGGCTCACATATGGGGTATGAAACGGGAACCTATCAAGACTCCGTTTCTTGCAAAATCTAATGAATCAGATTACCAAGATTCTTTAGCTGTATTCAAATTAGTAAGTTCTTCGTTAAATTTAAAATATATTTATTTATAGCAATATTTTATAATAAATTAATTTTCATTTTTTTATATTAGATTTTACGATTTATGAATGATAATAATTTAAGCGGTAAAAAAGAGAGAGCTTTAGGAGATTATATCGTGCAGAAAGGTTTAGTAAATGAGGGAATGAGAGACGAAATCATTTGCCAATTATGCAATCAAACATGGAAGAACGATAACGATGCAAATAATGAAAGAGGATGGCTTCTAATGGCCAATTGTCTCAGTTGTTTTGCACCTTCACAAGTTCTTTATAAATATCTACTTAAGTCAGTAACATTTGTATAAAAATAAAATATATTATTTGTTTATATACTGTATTTATTTTTGACTAATATAAATTTACTTAGATATGTATCTGATCATGCCTTCGATGGGTACAAAGGATTTTGCCAACGTAAACTTTTCCAGTGTCAAAATTCGACGCCCGAAAATGTGAGAATTTATCCTCCTTGTCTTTTAGAATGGAAAACAAATATTCGAAGAGCCAATATGGCTCTACTTGTAAAGTTTTCTGATGGTGAGATTTAGTTTTATATTGTATTACTAACGAAATTTCGAATAGTTACACAGTATAATTATAATATTTTGCATCAAATAAAGGTGGAAGTATGCTAGGACCTGTGCATTCTTGGTCAACGGGGGAAGAATTTACCTCTGCACTGATAAAATCAAGGTAGTTGTTGATAATTTTTATAGCTGCTATCTGGTAATGACGTACTTTGTACTAGATAACACCATCTCATTTACAGAGGAATTGAGGAGTATAATGGCTGGACGTTGGATCTCTGTGATTGCGGACATGTTTACGAACTAAACGGCTACGATTACGTGTTGGATTTAGTATCTGAAACAGAAATCCCTCCTGCATTTCCTGTCTGTAAATCTTTCTTTTTAGTTTCTGCAGATAAAACTAAAATCGATCGAGAACAAGAAAAAGTACATTGGATTTCATCGTAAGTTTAAAAAATAATCAGTATGATTAAAATAATAAATATAAATAGATAACTTATTTAATAATTATGTATAATTTTAACTAGACCACACAATCCCGAAAACATCAATACATTCGAAATAGACGTAGAAGACATTCCTCTTGCTCCCATCCGACATTTACCTCCATCATCTAGAACTGAAGAATCCATACGTCTAGAACAAAGAAATTATCAAGAAGCAAGTGCGTAGAATTATTTTTAATGATGTAAAAAAATTTGTTTTATGATTTATTAAGAAAGTGTTATCAAGATAAGATAAATTTCATANAAATTAAAGATTCTTTTTAAGATGGTTATTTATTTCTGTTGGAATATTTTAATTTTAAAATATTTAATTTCATAAAATAACATTATAATGCAGACATGCGATATTATTTACATCACGTGAATATACACTAAATAAATTTCTTTGGAGACCATATAACAATGATTACATGAAAATATTTTTGAATATGTTGATAACAGAGCATGCAAGAGTATTTTCATTAAAAATAACACGTTATTCTTTATTTTAATTCAGGGTGATTTGGTGTGGTTTGATCCTGGCATAGGATACCTTTTGCCAGGTGAAGTAGTGGAATTCTCCAAACCGGCGCAAGTCGTTACGGTGCAAGCTGTCATCAGTGGAAAGGTGAATTTCTAATCACATTGTAATCTTTAATTAAAATAGGAAACTTATTCACTTAAATATTTTTAATATAATCTCATCCAAATTTTTCGATACTTACAAATGCACGTATTTGAACTATTTTCTTTCAGCTTTCCATTATTTACAGTATATAGCCCATATAAAAATGATGTCAGTTTATTTTTAAGTTGTACAATCGTAATTCTGAACCGTATTATGTACTGTTTAGTTCGGGTATTATTTTTGTATCCATTCTATTAATGAAGGTTTTAAAATCTGTACGGTGAAAGGTTAGCTATATATAAAGTTTGTATGTCATTAATAACATATCATTTGTTGTTTGAACGATTCCAATCGTTGGCTCGCGTTGTCTCAATAATTATGCTGACAATAGAGAGAACTGGAAGATTATCGTGGGCCAAATGGTAGGAACATATTTGTTTCTCAGTTAAGTCATTAAAGAGCTCACGGCAGGAGACTTCCTTATCAGCCGACGCTTAAGTTGTGCAGTCAACTTGAAATGTTTCGCCCATTTAATTTTAGTTTTACACAACCACTGACCTTATAACCTTTATGAATAACATGAGAAATGTGTCAATGAGATCGGTTCTTCCTCTCTAAAATTATATTATACAAACTAATTATTTATTTCAGCCACAAAATTTTACACTGCACAATCTGGATACAGTTAAGAAGAGGCAGGATTTGGGTCAAAATGGTTTCGATGATATGATTGAACTTGTGTAAGTTTGATACTTATTATTGCCCAATAAAAATCATATCAATATAAATCATTCATCACAAAATTTTAATATATTATATAGAGATTTAAATGAAGCATCACTTTTATGGAATTTAAGGATAAGATATGACAAAGAAGTCGTTTATGTAAGTATCCTTTTCATAAATAAAATAGTATAATTTTGTTCTTGCATCAAAAATAGCCTATATAGTCTATCAGACTAATTAACGTTATTAAGAATTGCTATCTGTTGTTAATGTAATTATAGATTATTATAATAAATATAATATCAAAATCAGAGATTTGCATTTTTTCTCCTTCTTTAATTGAAAAGTTTCTGAAAATGAGTAGAAAGAACACGAAGTATATTTTCTTCATTCCGGCATTATGATGTATATTCTAACTACTTAGGAAATCCTCGATTAAAATATGCAGGAAATACAATGTCACGACTTTTACGGACCTTTTTACGGATCTCCTCTATACGTCATGGCTACAGGTGGACCGGATATGATGATGTAGTTCTACCGCATTCCATAAGAGGTTGTTCTATTGACCTACTGGTTGAAGGTTACATGGCCGTTACTATTTAATCATTCCAAATTTTCTATTTTCCTACGTCTATTTGATTTTCAGTTTCAACAAATTCTAAAATTTCAAAATTATTTCTATTAGATTTCCTCCTTTAACTTCCTCCTAGTCCCGAAGGAAGCCTGTTTACTCTGCACGAACTTCATTAAGAAGCAAAGAATGCGAAAGACCTTGAGGTTTTCCATTTGCATTTAGCACGCATATATGTTTCTCTCTTAAGCTTCGTAATATGTACCCTTATTAAACGTAATATGGTAAAATTCCTATTAAAAATGTATATAAATCACTTCCGAAATATATAATCCAATTAAAATTTAATAACAATAATGAATGTAGATCTGTGTAGATTTAATGATAAAAGTAAGATTTCATAACCTGTAAGAATCTTGTTTGCATTTGACGTATGACAGAAAAGAAGAGGTCAAACGACATGACAGAATCGTGCCGTTTGACCTCTAGATTCTCAAGTCTAGACCGTTGTAATAATTTATATTACGAATTAATATAAAATAGGTTGTTATCAAATTGTACATTGAATCAATTTGTAGAATAGTTTAATGCAAATTTATTTTCCAGTTTATTTATAATTTAAAGAATTTTCGATAGTTAAAATATTAATTGAATATTTATTATAATAATCTTAAATTAATATAAAATTTACTTAAATTGCATCTAGTTTGTTATAGATAATACATTTTGAATTATTCATTTCTTTTATTATTTTTCTCTAGTACGTGATGACATCATTTTTAAAAATATAAAACTATTTAAAATAGTCAAACTACTCCACGTATTTATCTAAATTGGGATTAAAGTTAACTATATCTATATTTTAAATCATCATTAACATAAGATTGATAATTCAATAAGTTCATATTTTATAGCGTGTTCAATCTAATACAATATAATTTAAGCTCGAAATTCAAAAAAGGCGTTAAATATATAAAGAATGATAAGGAAATGGTCAGTAAATTTTATTGATATTTTTAAATTTCATCTAATTATTAACAACTTTTTAATTTTAGACATATACGGGGAGTATTCTGGTTTCCGTTAATCCATATAAGATGTTTGACATCTATGGATTAGAAATGGTAAAGAAATACGAAGGACAAATTTTAGGCACCCTTCCTCCGTAAGTTTGATTATGAAATTAGAATAATTTGCTTAACCGAATAGTATTATAAGAATAAAGAAAAATTTCTCTTTTATTAATATAATATTTAATGGTACAGGAACTTATACTTAAAAAGATCATATTATTCATTCAGATATTATATATAATTTAATGCATATTACGTTGAATAATAATGAATAATTAGGAGACTTTCATCGAACTATTGTTTTTAAATGTATTAAATCGATAAATTAGATTCTTATATTGATTTAATTTCGATTAATGTGTTATATTTATATATTTAATGAAATTCTCAGACATCTATTTGCCATTGGAAGCTCAGCTTATGGAAAAATGAGCAAAGATAATGAAAATCAAGTTGTTGTGATCAGGTGACTATTCTCGATTGACAACTTTTATTTATTTTTTTCTAATTATCTTGACTAACTGAACTTTAAATATTTATAGTGGTGAAAGTGGAGCAGGTAAAACAGAAAGTACTAAGTTAATAATGCAATATTTAGCAGCAGTCAATAAGTCCCCGAGCAATTTGATAACGGAGCAAATCTTAGAAGCCAGTCCCCTTTTAGAATCGTTTGGCAACGCGAAAACTGTTCGAAATGACAATTCTAGTAGATTCGGAAAGTATTTAGAAGTTCATTTCAAAGAGTAAGTTTCAAAGAATTTTCATTGTTTTTTTTTAAAAAAAACATAAATACTCATTAGACTATTTACGGTCAGTAACTAAAAGCATTTGTTTATTTTTAAATGACGAGGAAAAATAGTTAAATTAAGTAAATTGAATTAAAAATAAACTTGAAAATATATGCCAATTTCTTTTTTTTGTTTTTATTTTACTTTTTTCTTAATTTGCCAAGTGTTTCTTCGTAATTATTTTGGCATGTTAACAGTTTTACACTGAAATATATTTTTTTGTTTATTTCTGTTGTTATTTTTCAGTGGCGTGATTACTGGAGCTAAAACGATCGAGTACCTTCTAGAGAAATCTCGAATTGTCACTCAGGTTCGTGACAGACAAACTTACGTTTCCTTGTATTTTGTTTCTATTTTGTAATTGAACCGGAAAAATGTCGACATTTGTTTTTATGTTATATATTTTTTGTTTATAACAGGCATCAGACGAGAGAAATTATCATGTGTTTTATGAGATGTTGGCGGGTTTAACTGAAAGTGAAAAGGAAAAATACGGGTTACAGTCAGCTGACAACTATTTCTACCTCAACCAGGTAACTGGAACAAATGGCGCCATCTTGTGAAAAAAATTTGTCACATTAAAAAATAATATTAAATTACTGCAAAAATAATTTATTAAAAATATGTATGATAATTTTTAANTATATATATATATATATATTGGTACATAGCTGTTAATTTTAATAAGTATTTATTGAAAAACTTAATAATAATTGAAATGTATTTTTGATAGTTGTTCGCGAACTCACACGAATGAAAGAAGCTAAAGACTTAACAGAAAGGCCTGTAAGAACTCAGTCAAAAGAAAGAATAATGGAAACCGGATTAGAAAATGCTTTATCTAAAACAAGTGCATTGAATGAAAGGTATTTTGAAATAGATAAAAGTCACGAAAACATTGAAGAAAGACGACAAGTTGATATAACGAGAGATAATCTCGGCTTGTCTAAAACAAGCAAGCTTAACGAACGATACGAAAACCGCAAAACTGAGAGAGACGTTCCTGGACTTTCAGAAACTAGCAAATTAAATAAGAGATATATAGTGGGTAAAAACGAACAATCAAATAAAATAAGACAGGAAGAACGAATTTTAGATACAGCTAGTTCTCTTAATTCAGGAAATGCATGGCAAGAACTTGGTTTGGCGACTTCAGCCCTTAACGATCGTTATTTCAGTCGTCAAGATTTACATAAAAGCTCACAACACGATGGCAGCGAGTTAGATATTCGATCACACGATACTAGTATAAGAACGAGTGCAACGAAAGAGGGACAGATCAATGGACAAGGATCTTTGCTAAATGGCTCCGGAAGGCAAGATCGATTGGAATCCGAAGGACAGAGCCGAATTCCTAGTCCTCCTCTTTCTTCTAGAACATCGAATGATGGGGTTGATGGGCCAGAATTCGATTTTAGCGATTTAAATCATTCTGTAAATAGAGAACACGATAACGATCAGGAGACTTCTAAATATAGCAGAACTACTGAATCCACTCGATATGTGAAATACACAGCCAAATCTCAACCAAGACCGTATTCTCATTCAACTCGGGCCCATATTGATAAATCTAGAGAAATAGAATATGGTGGAGGTGCTCGAAGCTCCGCTTTATCAGATACGTCAGAAGCACCTTCATTAGCGTCTCATGTGCGAAATGTTCGCATTCCATCACATACTTCTGATTTAGATCAATATTTAGACGATTTATTCAACCCCGTTTTAGATGGAAATTTGGATGAATTGAGTGATGCTAGATCATTAGCAGCGTCTATCAAAGGAGGAAAGAAAAAAGATTTTATGGAAAATAGTTACATAGAACGCACTGTTGATTTAATACTAGATGAAGATTTGAGATTTCTTTGTGATCCTGTTCTGCTTTCTAAATCGTTAAAAGGTGGCGGCGATAGATCAAGTGTCTTATCACAAGAATCTGATCTTGACAGCTATTTGGATGATTTGTTTCAATCCGTACTGGATAGTGACGTAGAAGATCTTCAAAATGCAGAAAGCGTAGCAACATCTTTGAAAGGTGGCGGTCAAGCTGCTGGTGCTACAGAGACACAGGTTAATAACTATTTTCATCAAATGTGATTAACTGTATTCAAATATTAAAAAAAATGAACTAACTATTAAAATGCATGTTTAATATTTCTACAGCTTTTATATTAATCAAATAACAACAATTTTAACACAATAATTTTATATTTCTATGGTGCTGTGATAGAATTATTTCATATTAACATTACTTATTTCTTTAATAATGAAAATATCAATATAAAATAATCTGAAACCTTTCTTAATTAAAAATGTTTTATATTATGCACAACAAAGATATGTAAGAAAAAGGATTTTAATTTGATTTCTTATGATTTTACCATATTTTTATTAACATAAATATAACATAATAAATAACTTTTACATTAAAAATGTGAAAGTTATTTATTTGTGAATTGAATAAGAAAATGTTAGACAGAATTTTGATACTTTTCTATAAAGATCTTGATTTTTCAGTTCTAGTCATTAATTTTTAATACATCCGAAATTCTTTAACGTAGAAAGTAATTGTCAAATTAGCTTATTGAACATTTTTAAAACTTCACGTATAAATTTTAACATTAAATCATCACAATATGTTTGAATGATGACTGATATAGATTAACTGAATTATCTTTTTTATCTCCAGTTGAAATACAGTATTTGTCAATAAATATTTCCTGTAAAGCATAAGATGAGTAATGTATTATCATAGATAACTTACAAAACATTTGATACTTTTCTATTCTTTTGTAATGAACTAAAAGTATGATAATGATCGTATTTATTAATTCAAAAATTATGAAAAAGTAAAAAATAATATAAATTTAGTAATTTTATAATGAAACAAATTACGTTTTCTAATATGTCCATAATAGAAACTAGGAATAAATAAATTATAACTTTCACTTTTTCCTTTAATTTCAAATTATCTTAATGGAAAATTTAATCTGAAAATCTCTTAATTTTGCTGCCTTACAAATAAAACACCAAAATATAAATTACTGTTTAAATGCATAAAATAATTCCAGTTAATTTTAAAATCGTCATTTATTAATTATAAATCTACAAATTTTGAGGGAATCATTACAAATAAGCAATAAAAAAAAACGAAAATTTACCGATCACGTGCCTTATTGACATCAGTTATGACAATTAGGGATGTTAAAAGTTTACATTGTATCAATAATAATATACTATATCGAATTTTTAAAAACTAATTCATATTCCAATTAATAAATTCATAAATTTATCATTTTTATGAAACTTAAACTAATAAAACATTGCAAAATAAAATAGTTTATTAAAATATTCTTCCTGAAAACTTGTTTCAATATTAACGATTTCATCTTCTTTTTTAATAACTTATGTTTATTTCTGGTTAGTTTCTTTTCTATTCTTTTGCCTACCCGTTATTTCTTCGGGCATTTTTTGTATAATTAATATAATTAAAATTTTCACAATATACAATATACATCGCGAAATTTTATTTCTGTCCTTTTTAAACGTTTTAAATCCTATTTATAAAATTAATTTTTAAAAAGTTAAATTTACAAAGTTTTCTGAATATTTTTTCAACTGCTGGCAGTTCTAGAAAATTTGCAGAGGTGACCCCCCCCATCCAAAAATAATGAATTATCAAAAAAACACATGTGAGCCTATATAATAAATTTATATCTTTATAATCAGAGCAACAAATTTTGCTAAAATAATTAAGTTGCATTTTATATAAGTTACTTTAAAAATTTTATAAAAATTAATTGTGTAGAGATGAATTTCCTTCTTGGATCGCTGCTAGTTTCGATATTATAATGAACGAATAATTGCAGTTTTTGAGACATGATTTAATAAAATCATTAATGATATTATTATGAAATAAAATGGTGGGCATTTTCTAACTTATCATTTCTATATAATTAGAGTGACGTGAAACAAATTGGTATATAACTTATTGCAAAATAAATTTTAATCTTTTTACATACGATTGTCTAATACTTATAAAATATTTTGTATCTTATTAAACTTAAATGAATTTATTACATGGTTTATTAACAACTAAAACATTTTACATTATATAGTTTTTTAGTTTATTAATTTTAATTAAGATTTATTGCTTAATATTGTATATTTTTTCTACAGCAACACGCTCCTTCAGTAGGAATTGGTATGTCCATGCCTTCTGCAAATAACTTTCCTCTCTCTCCTCCTCTTGTTTCATCATCAGCTCCAACAGTGAATACGAATCTTCCTATGTTCAATCTTGCAGGTATCGTCCTAATTTATTATTTGCAAGTTTATTTGATTGCGGAAATTGCTTCGACATTAACTATACTAACCTTTTGATATAATAAGCGATTTCATATGTTCCTGTTGTGCTCGTTATTTGCTTTAAGTATGTAATGGTGTACTAAGTTTCGTAAAATAGTGATACTTAATTTAGTATAATAATACTTTTTGATTTGTAATATAAATTAATTCAGAAGCTTTACTAATTTTTATCAATAATTGAAATGTTGTAAACTCTGAACTTGTAAACTATTGTGATGATAAAGGTATAATCACGGTGTAGACTCTAGAGCCTAATTAANACTCTACAATATCAAGTATTGTTTGTTTATTGAAGAGGCCTCGAAGTCATACAAACTTCCTAGGGCCTTTTAGTAATCTAATAATTCTCTAACAGTCGGAACAGTCTAGATCTTTATCAAAGTAACCTGTGATAAAGGCTTTATATTATACAAAAAAAAGACCACACAAATCCATAGTTATTAGGGCCTTTTAAACTAAAACTCCCTAACGATTTTACGTAATAATTTTTTTTTCTTCTTAAATTATATTAATTTTTATAAATTAAAATAATATACTAACCATCTAAGATATCAGAGAAGACAAAGGTAAAACACAGCAATATAATAACACAGCATATCCCTCTGGGCTTTTCCATATTCTGTGTACAAATAACAGAGCTTCTTCCCTCAAACACTCAACTAAATATGCTAAAAATGAATAAACCTGTTAGGAGCAGCGGAGTCACGTGACCTTCAACCAACTGAATTAATTCCCCCCTCCCTCCCTCCCTCCTGTTAAACTGCAAACGTCGTTCGTTACGTAGAACACGTGTTGTTGCCATACTAGACGACACACAAACGTTTTATATGCATTTTTTTTTTCTTTTAACGATCTAATTTTACCCCTTTATCTATTATTTTTGTTTGTTTGTTCCATTTGATAATTAACAATCAATCAATGAGTTTAAAGGTTAAATATTAGCAATATTTTTATGTACAATTATAGTAAACATCTTAAAATACCTTCTTAATTAGTAATTATTAAGATTTTATAAACGTTAGACGAGAATTTTGTTAATTAAATTTTTACTTCCCAACCTCCTGTTGTACTGTAAAGTTTGGTATTCGAAATTGGGAGACTCGAGCTACAGGTTGGTTATTTATATTACTAAATCGAGGAATCAATTAATTTTATTAATATTTACTTTATTTACTTCCGTTATGTTCAGTGTAAAGTGCGTTTAAACACGTGAAATATTAGTGTTTTGATATAAAGACAGTTTTATTAAGGGAATTTTTATTTTGTTGTGGATTAAATAAGACAATGTTGACGTAAAGACAATTGAATTAATGATGAAAACTATCGGTGAAGTGAAGTTCTAATATAAATTTAATTTTTCTCACGTATTTTTACTTGAGAAAATATTAAAATATAATCTTGTAAAGTTAAATTTATTTCATTTTCTTCAATTGTGATTTTAGAAAGACAATGCGAGTTAAAGCAATTTTTTCATTGAAGCGGTAGGCATTGAGATGTATTTCTATCAGTCTACCCATCTTATATTTGTATACTTAACTTCAAAACATATCGATTAAAACATTTCATAAATATAATTAAATTTTTAAGAAATATCTCCAAATTTAATAAAAAATCAAAGTTAATATAATCGATTTTTTACAGTTTCAGATAATTTTAACTAATTAGCGCTGAGTTTTGCAGCTATCTTGATACATTCAATTTATAGTTGTTTTTATATTCGATTATTCTTTATGTATATAATAATTAATTTATCAATGTTTGCATTAAATATACAATAAATGAATTTAATATAAAACGTGGATTTTAATGTATTATAGCTTATATAGGCCTATATATTTACAGTAATCTAAATTTGTAGTAGCATTTTTGTACATTTTCGACATTTTTATTTAGGCTATCAGATTTTTATTACAAAAGCTGTATATTGGCAATGTTGATTTTACTTTATCCAAAAATGTTTTTAATAAACATATTTTTCTTTGTATTATTTCATATTAGATTTAAACAGGTTCTTCCCTTTCACTCTATCTTTCAGTGTTATTTTAGATTTTTTAAAATTAGAACTGGTTCTTTTAACAACAGCATAATGATCCTATTCAACAATAATAAAAGATTATTAATATAAGTAAGAAGTTCTGAATGACTCAAAACTTGATTCAAATGCAAATTAACATTTAATTACATCCTTGATTTAGCTATATATATCTTTATGAGCATTATTTTATACATTGTCGTGCGATATATGGAAATATCATCATAAAATTACATTAGTTTTATCCATATTTTATAAAGTATTATTTGTTTTAGATGTTAATAATCGAAACTTTCAACAGATTCAAAATAATGTTAGGGATTTTTTGAACTTTATTCGTTCTTGCACAGATTCATCTATCGAGATACTGATATACTGTGTAAGCATATCTGAAGTGATTTATATGCAACATTTCTTGTCTTATATTATCTCTCGTGCAAATTTTAGTTAATTTACTTGTTTCATTTTCGAACAGCTATTAAACCATTAAAATAAATGAAAGTTTTTTTATTTCATTGAAGATACAGTNGGATTTTAATTTGATTTCTTATGATTTTACCATATTTTTATTAACATAAATATAACATAATAAATAACTTTTACATTAAAAATGTGAAAGTTATTTATTTGTGAATTGAATAAGAAAATGTTAGACAGAATTTTGATACTTTTCTATAAAGATCTTGATTTTTCAGTTCTAGTCATTAATTTTTAATACATCCGAAATTCTTTAACGTAGAAAGTAATTGTCAAATTAGCTTATTGAACATTTTTAAAACTTCACGTATAAATTTTAACATTAAATCATCACAATATGTTTGAATGATGACTGATATAGATTAACTGAATTATCTTTTTTATCTCCAGTTGAAATACAGTATTTGTCAATAAATATTTCCTGTAAAGCATAAGATGAGTAATGTATTATCATAGATAACTTACAAAACATTTGATACTTTTCTATTCTTTTGTAATGAACTAAAAGTATGATAATGATCGTATTTATTAATTCAAAAATTATGAAAAAGTAAAAAATAATATAAATTTAGTAATTTTATAATGAAACAAATTACGTTTTCTAATATGTCCATAATAGAAACTAGGAATAAATAAATTATAACTTTCACTTTTTCCTTTAATTTCAAATTATCTTAATGGAAAATTTAATCTGAAAATCTCTTAATTTTGCTGCCTTACAAATAAAACACCAAAATATAAATTACTGTTTAAATGCATAAAATAATTCCAGTTAATTTTAAAATCGTCATTTATTAATTATAAATCTACAAATTTTGAGGGAATCATTACAAATAAGCAATAAAAAAAAACGAAAATTTACCGATCACGTGCCTTATTGACATCAGTTATGACAATTAGGGATGTTAAAAGTTTACATTGTATCAATAATAATATACTATATCGAATTTTTAAAAACTAATTCATATTCCAATTAATAAATTCATAAATTTATCATTTTTATGAAATTTAAACTAATAAAACATTGCAAAATAAAATAGTTTATTAAAATATTCTTCCTGAAAACTTGTTTCAATATTAACGATTTCATCTTCTTTTTTAATAACTTATGTTTATTTCTGGTTAGTTTCTTTTCTATTCTTTTGCCTACCCGTTATTTCTTCGGGCATTTTTTGTATAATTAATATAATTAAAATTTTCACAATATACAATATACATCGCGAAATTTTATTTCTGTCCTTTTTAAACGTTTTAAATCCTATTTATAAAATTAATTTTTAAAAAGTTAAATTTACAAAGTTTTCTGAATATTTTTTCAACTGCTGGCAGTTCTAGAAAATTTGCAGAGGTGACCCCCCCCATCCAAAAATAATGAATTATCAAAAAAACACATGTGAGCCTATATAATAAATTTATATCTTTATAATCAGAGCAACAAATTTTGCTAAAATAATTAAGTTGCATTTTATATAAGTTACTTTAAAAATTTTATAAAAATTAATTGTGTAGAGATGAATTTCCTTCTTGGATCGCTGCTAGTTTCGATATTATAATGAACGAATAATTGCAGTTTTTGAGACATGATTTAATAAAATCATTAATGATATTATTATGAAATAAAATGGTGGGCATTTTCTAACTTATCATTTCTATATAATTAGAGTGACGTGAAACAAATTGGTATATAACTTATTGCAAAATAAATTTTAATCTTTTTACATACGATTGTCTAATACTTATAAAATATTTTGTATCTTATTAAACTTAAATGAATTTATTACATGGTTTATTAACAACTAAAACATTTTACATTATATAGTTTTTTAGTTTATTAATTTTAATTAAGATTTATTGCTTAATATTGTATATTTTTTCTACAGCAACACGCTCCTTCAGTAGGAATTGGTATGTCCATGCCTTCTGCAAATAACTTTCCTCTCTCTCCTCCTCTTGTTTCATCATCAGCTCCAACAGTGAATACGAATCTTCCTATGTTCAATCTTGCAGGTATCGTCCTAATTTATTATTTGCAAGTTTATTTGATTGCGGAAATTGCTTCGACATTAACTATACTAACCTTTTGATATAATAAGCGATTTCATATGTTCCTGTTGTGCTCGTTATTTGCTTTAAGTATGTAATGGTGTACTAAGTTTCGTAAAATAGTGATACTTAATTTAGTATAATAATACTTTTTGATTTGTAATATAAATTAATTCAGAAGCTTTACTAATTTTTATCAATAATTGAAATGTTGTAAACTCTGAACTTGTAAACTATTGTGATGATAAAGGTATAATCACGGTGTAGACTCTAGAGCCTAATTAACACTTTAAAATCCGTTAAAACTGCATTCCTTTATCAGGAAGCCCGCCGCTTTTAGCTGTTTCTCCTCATGCAAACATGATGCAGTTTCCTTATTTACCCGTGTATAATATATCAGGTAAGGAAACAGCCTCTGGTGAAGGAAACGGTGATGGTTGGTTTTGAGAAGCATTGTGATTAATTTGCACATTAATAAAATGCACTCGACTAATATTGGTTACGGTGACCAATACTGAATATTTTTAATGATCGAAAAAAAAAGAATTAATCGCAATAATAAATTTCAGGAATGACTGTGCCAATGGTCGATGCTTCGCAGTTAATACAGCAACAATTTGTTCAGCAGCAAATGATACAGGTAGTAATTATTACACGAAAGTTTATTAATAATTAATTACATTTTAATAATTTCTCTTTAATTATGATCTTAGTTACAACAAAGAGCGTTTTTGGCATCCGCTGTTCAACAGAATCTTCAGATACAACAACATTTGATGCAACAGAATCAAGCTTTACAACATCTTTTGCAAACATCAACGGTATAATTTTTTGTGGTTTAATGTTTCATTAAACAATGAAATAAAGTAATTTAACTTTCCATCTTTATTTTTCAAACTTTGGAGTGTAGACCTATAAGCTATTTATGGTAGATTTATTTTAAATTATTTCACTAACAATATTTCGTGAAATTCAGATTTTAATGAGTAACTCATAGATAAATAAATATAATAATAATTACAAAAAACAAAACTATGATATGGAGTGTTTAATTAATGTATATATGTGTTTTATATATATAATATATATTTTTTCCTAGATAAATCCTACCTCGCCTCAACCAAATGAATCGAGCTTATTAACTCAAGCAACACCAATGACTCCAGATAGTGGACCAGCATCTCTCGCATCACCCATTGTACAGTTGCCATCTCAAATTTTACCACATGCATCATCATTTCCTGCTCCAATGTTTTCACCACAACCAAGTTTCGGTTTAGATTCGGCTTTAAGTACACCATTTATACCTTTTACCGGTCTAAATGTAGCACAACCAATACCAGAAGAAAGTGTAATACAAAGTTCCCAAGTAAAAACGCAACATGAAATAATATCACCTCCACCACCCCCAATTCCACAAAAGTCAAGTTTAAAACTTACATCTCAAAATTCTGCTCCAAGAGATGTTTTCAGTGGTGTTCTTAGTGAACTAAAAAATAGAGCCGGGAAAGATGATGTTCCACCGCCAAAATCTCACATTCCTAGAATGCCTGGAATACCACCACCGCCGCCGCCTCCACCACCGCCCCCACCACCACTTTCTCCAGACAGTCAGGAAAAATATACTGATGTGTATGGCCGAGCCAAAACTGTAAGAATCGGAAAATGGAGATGGCCTCCTCCAAGAGATGATAATTCTGCACAGCCAAACAGTTTTATTGAATTTAAAATGAAAAAACAACAAGAGAAACACGATAAAGGAGAAGACAGCTTTTTAAATGGTTCCGAATCTGCAGAATTTGAAGAAATAATTGAAATGGATCAAGTTTATCCCGCTCCAATAACTTCTCAATCGAATGAAAAGCAGCCACAGCCAAAAGTTGTGCAACCAGAGAGATCAACTCTAGAAATTCCTTCAGAAGAAGAGAGAAAACCAATTCCCGGTAGTATTGGAAAATTACGAATTAGCTCTGAAATGAAAGCTAAATTAGAACAGTTAACTATGGATCATAGTATCCGATCTTCTAATAAAGATAGCAGAACCAGAATCAGTGCATTTCCTATGAAAAAGGAGGAACAAGCTGTTAAAAAACTAGAAGAAAATAGGAAGATGCTTTTGGAACAAAAGTTGACTGGTTTTTCAGGAATTGATCAAACCGATACTGCTCCAAAAAATCGTTCCGAAAGACATTTAGAATCTTCCGCTCAAGATGATGGCTTTATATCTGTTGAAACTGCTGTTACAGAAGGATTTCAAGAAAGTGATCAAGAAAAAGATGCGCGTGAGAAGGAACCTTCTTTTGTAGTAGAAAATCTCGTAAAAAGTCAAGTTGAAAAAATGGAAAGGGCTAGCAGAGAAATTCGCGAATTGCGCGAAGAATTGGGACATCCACTAGCCCATCCATCTAGAACTAGCACTCAACAAGGTGAATATGGTCCCTCTAGTTTAACTTCATCGCGATACTTCAGTCATCCCACTATGATCGATAAATCTCTGTATGATCAATCCAGTCAAGCTTCTAAAAGTATCATATACGAAGAAAGCTTAGCATCTTCTCATGGAACTTATAATCATCATTCGGGACTGCCATATCAAAACGACATGAAAACGGCCCAAGCTTTGTACAGTGCCAAGAGTCACATACTTCCACTGCCTCCGTTTGGAATTCCTAAATCTAATGCTCCTTCATCAGTTGCTGCTTCTAGTAGCTATTACGCTCCTAGTACTCCCGTTGTACCTAGGCATCGAGAACCACCACCACCCATAACTGCTTCAAAATTCTTACCTGAAAAGGAGTTCTCTGAAAAAATAGAATGTGAGTATTCCTTTCTCTTTTTATTTTTTAGTTTTAAATCAACATAATGAAATATTTTTTTCCTTTTTAATTATGCTTTTATTACGATTTTCTGAAAATTAATTGTACGTATCGATTTGTTATTACCAATTACGATAGTAGAAGCTCCCGTGAATTTTATTGATGAATTTAAATTTTTAACACGTAGGTAAAAACTTTTCATAATTAAAAGGTAAAACAATTTATCTGCTGTCATTTTTTTACTCTATTTAATTTTTATATATATAATTTCATTAAAATATTCTTGAAATGATTGTTTCAAAAATAGTAACGATCATATGTGATATGAGTCATCAGTGTGTATTACTGCTAAGAAATTTTATAGCCGCGATATAAAATTAATAATAGATCTATTTTTTCGAACATATTTCTCGGCTCTTTCTTCAGGAAGCCTCAACCAACAACAAGTTATTTCAATATGTTCTTTTAATTTCGTTTTATTTGTATTTCTCTCTTTATTTTTAATATATATATCACTTCCTGTTCTGCTACAGAATTTACATAAAATAAAGGCTGGAGTATGTTGTTCTAATTGTTTTTTCTAATTTTCTCTTTCTCACCTATATAAATTTATCTATTTTTACATGTACATGCCAATTTATATACTATACAGTCGACCCCCCNCAGAATGAAGAACGGAAATCGACAGGAAATCTTATCTTAATAGAATTAATGAAATAAAATATTAAACAAAGCTTTATTGTTCGAATATGACATTTCCTGATTATTTAAGCCATGTTAGGAATAAAAATACCGATTATTTTTAGTTCCTTTTATATTTCTTACCTTGATTTATGTACAGTACAATAAGACTCTGAGTTTTATATCTTATCGTTATTTTCTATCAGAAAATAACAAAAAGATATGAAACTCAATCTTAATAAAGAAGTACTGATTGAAATTATTTTGAAAAATTCAGTCCTATATTAATTAACTTTATCATGTAAGGGTTTGTCGAAGTTGAGTGAGCCACATCCGTGTCCGAACGGATGTTACGCCATGTTAAGTCAGGATTTTGACATTGAACGGAAAAAGATTCGCTAATGATTAGTATAAGTTTATTTCTTTGAGATTTTAATTTCATACATGAATAAACATATGAAGGCAAACTTCATTCACGAGATAACAGATTTGAGTAATAAGAATAATTATATATTTAGAAATCTTAAGAATATATTATAACAAATAATTAAAATAATTTTGCGTTGGCGTTATAGTGACATTTTGGCTATAATTTAGAAAGAATTTTGTGAACACAACAGAATTCATGGCGTTTCTTCTTTTTCCAACTAGTTTGACGATAGTACTGTATTTATAAATAAATATTTACTTCAATATTATGCAGTACTTTTGTCTGTTAAATGACTTGGACCCTCAGAGATGTTTAAAATGAACTATAATTTGTATATAGTTCTTTGCACCGACATTTGTAAAATTTGAACACAGTAAAGAACACTGTCTTTACATTAACAGTTCTTATATTCTTATCTCTCTATCCTATGTATTGTAGTATCCACAGAGCCCATTAGCGGGACCGTAGAGGGAGAGATGATGGGAGTCGTGTGTATCTCCAATAAGGTTGGACTTAATGATGATTTTACTCGTTATTAGCATTTTCAATTATATATATATATATAAAACTTATCCCTTTCCCGAAAATTAAGCTTTTTGCCATTTTATAGTAGTTAAAAACATAAAATACAGTAACAGATGGTACCATTAAAATTTTAAATGCTGCCAGGGAAAGTTGAGCAACTCGTTGCTAGTTCATTGACATTTTGGGTTCAGTAGGTCTCAAAACGTCAATATTTGCAAAAAAAAACCGGAAAACCAAATCTGACACGATTCTAATACACGTATTATATACATAATGGCAGGTAAAGTAAAAGGTCGTCGAACCATTCTTAGATCATATTTAAAGAAATTCATCAAAATTCTACTATTGTACATTAACGTAAACAACTGGACATTAGATTTTTTAAATTTGAAACTACAAATCGTATACTAAAAAATTGCTCTCTTATTATCCTATAACACTCACAAATCGGCCGGATGGCCGAGCGGTCAAGGTGACAGCATACGACTCTGGGGGATCCGGGATCGAATCTGGACGTGTCGAGAAATCCCAGGAATTTTTCGGGGGTGGACCGTTCGGATATGTCGAACCCCGTCCCTCACCACCCTGGCCGAACCCAAAATGGGCCGCTAAAAGAAGCCCTCTTAGTGAGAAAAGAATTAAAAAAACATACACAAATTTTACTTTTCGTTCTAATAACAATCAGACTTGATAATCGAATTCTGAGTTTCTTTTTTATATCAGTAATTGGACACTGATATAATAAGATCCTATTACATATAAATTTAGTTTAACGTTCAAACATTATACAACATTTGTGTATTTATATTATAAATTTTACAATATTCGTTCTTTCAATTTTGAGCTTAATTATCTTATCGGTAGTTCCTAGATATTAAAAAGAATGTTCTATATTTTTCATTTGTGTGGTTATTGTTGCATTTACAGTATTTATTTTAATTATGTAATGAAAATGTTTTTTAGGCTGGTCGAAATTCGAAGCGTCAAATCTACAGACTTCCAGGTGGAACTGAAAGAGTAATAAATACTAAATCAACTACAGTAGTTCAAGATGTTATTGAAGAAATATGCAGCATTTTGAGTGTCAGAAAGCAATTGGAAATGGAAGAATTTTCCTTATATTGCATTGTAGAAGGAGGTTGGTTTTCTTGTTGTTTGATAATAATTGTTATAAATTTTGTTTACATTGCTAAATTATTATAATTTTACTAGATCCCTATACAATGCCACTAAACAGAGAAGAATATATATTAGATGTGACTACAGAATTACATAAAAATGGCCATATTTACTACTTAATATTTTGTAGATCTGTCTGGTATTATCCTTTACGTTTAGATAATCAACTTTACATAGAAGTTATCTTTAATCAAGTTGCACCTGACTACTTAGAAGGATTACTTATTATTTTACCAGGGGAGAAATTGCCTGATCATCTGATGGTATTGTAACGTTTCACATTAAACATGTTTTTTGTTTTCTCAAAGTAGTTTCTAATTAATGATTGTGTATAAAAAGTTATATTAAATTTATATATTCTTCTAATAAGAACAAGTAATTATTAGATTAAAATTTTCTTTTTCAGCCTGATATTGCCAAAGTTGCTGCACTTCTTCACAGAGCAGCTGATATGGAGCATATGCCCACAAAGTAAGTTATTAAATATTAAATTTAACATATTTTAAAAAATTAACTGTATTATTTTATATTTTTATAGAGAAGAAGTAAAATATCTTCTTCCCAAGCCAGTATTGAGTGTCAAAGATATTCGGCCAACTCAATGGGTGGAAGCAGTCCAGCAAAATTGGGCAGGCATTACCTCACTGACTACAACTGATTCAAAAGCTCAATGCTTAGGTAAGTGATTTTTTAGTAAAGTGTGGGCATTTTTTAAAGAGCATATTATTTCATTATGGTTATTGTTGCATTTATTGTTGTACATAATGATTTTTGTAATAAAACAATTCACATAGAAAGCTTAATTGCTTCCTATGTGAATTGTTTTCTTACAAAAATTTCATACAGATTATTGTCAAAGTTTTAAATCAAATTTAAGGGGAGAGAAAATCTGTTATTTTATAATGACAATATATCATAGGTAATTTTTGCAAGTAATTATTGTTGCATATCAAGTACAGTAAATTTACAAAGATATGATAAATATTTTATTTTAATAAATGAATTATTTAAAGAATTAAATCATATTATTTTATTATTTAATGTTATTTTTAGAGAAGTGACGATAGTTTAACGTCAATTCTTTTTATTTTTCAAATACTTGACCTTGAGAGACTGGTAATTTATTATTGTGACGTGGGTTCAAATTTTTATGTAATTCAAACACGTGCTTTTTCTCACTTATTCTAATAATTTAACAGAAGAAATCATAAAATATATGTTAAGACGTGTTATGTTCATAAAATTGCTAAATACATTAAAATATAAATTAGTTCGAATAGTCATTATTCACAATAAAGTCTTTCATAAATGATTGTAGGTCTAACCACTTTATATTTGAAAACAATTATATTAATTTAACCTTGTTTTTTGGTACCAGATACTACGCAAACACGTCCTTACAGTAAGTAATATATGCAGTCTGGTTATTATTATAAGTATCAGATATCGATCGATATCATTGTTTTCGTGTACAAAATAATTATATCTAACGTACTGTACATGAAGAGTTATTAGAGGAAGTACTTGGGTAATATAGATTTTAAAAGTTTTTCTAAGTATAATTTTATTGTACTACTTACATATAGAAGTTATTTATGTATAGCATAAATAAGCACAATTATTTTTTAGACCTTCGTATGAAATAACTTAATTCTTTCTTTAGTTCAGTTGAAACTACCTGTCTTCATATAACTATCTCCACGTTCTCGTCTTTCTAATATATTTTATCTTCATTTTGAGATGCTTTAATATTTTTATTATAGAATTGAATAATTATTAAATCATAACTTTTTTATTTAATATTTGGATATTTGTGAGAATGAACTATGAAAATCTATCTTAAACAAACTTCACATTCAACTAACAAAATTAGTTGAAAGAAAGAAAAGTTCTAATATTTATCTAAAATTCTTATTAAATATTTCAAACAAGATATCCCTTTTTTACATTTACATTCTTTACATTGTTTTGTTAACTAAAAATTTTATTTTATTTTAATAACTCAGCTTTCCTATTTTATTTTTCTTAAAAGATTTCTTGGCTATGAAAATCTATCTTAAACAAACTTCACATTCAACTAACAAAATTAGTTGAAAGAAAGAAAAGTTCTAATATTTATCTAAAATTCTTATTAAATATTTCAAACAAGATATCCCTTTTTTACATTTACATTCTTTACATTGTTTTGTTAACTAAAAATTTTATTTTATTTTAATAACTCAGCTTTCCTATTTTATTTTTCTTAAAAGATTTCTTGGAATATATTGCATAAAAATATATTAATACAAAAATGAATAATTTGCATTATAATTTATTTCAGTCGAAGAGAGTTCGGAATTTTTAAATCCTGTAGATACAGCTCCTCCTCCTGTTCTAGATCCTACAGACCAAAAATCTTTAGAGAATATTAAAACTAAATTATTTGCACCAGGCAACGCTCCTTATTTTTCATATACCAAAGTGCGCTGGGAAATTCGTGTGAGAAAAGAAGTAAGTTTATCAATAACGGTAGAATTATTAATTCATTTTAAATTTTATTAAAAAATGTTATGTCTTTAAGGTATTTTCGCCTAACGAAAAATTAGAGACTCCTCTAGCTTTACATCTAGTTTTTTGTCAAGTGGTCCAGGACGGTTTGTCGTCTAATTGTATACGTTTAAACAGAGAAGAAAAGAAGAAATTGAGACAGTTATTAGGTTAGTATATATTACTCTCGTATTTTATAAAATTAAGTATTGTATAAAATAAATAAAATTGTTTTTTAGATGGTTATGGTATTAACAACAACAATCTGCATGGTAGCAATCTTAAATTGGCTATGAAAAGAAATGTCATAGAATTAGCCAAAGATTTCCCTAATTATTTTAGTCGCTTATTCCCAGTTTCTGTAAGTATTAAACGTTTCAGAATAATCATAAATCAATGATGTAGATATTTTATATTAATTTATATGTGAATATGTTCGATTATAGGGAGGACGGAATTTACCAAATGTTCAACTTCTCGGTGTTTCTCATTCTGGAGTACGCTTAGTAAGAAGAGAGAGAGATGCTATATGCGATTATCTTCGAGTTTTAGATACTCTTAGGTAAAATATTTTGATACGTACGCATTCGAGTTTATTTCAAATTGTGTCATTCGAATTTACATTTGCATTTAATGTGGTTGTTGAAGTGTTTTTTACAAATGTAATATTGAATTTATAAATAAATTTATATTAAGTGTAATTTTAAACTAATGATGATTTATTTTCATTAGTTTCGAAGATATTGCAGAGGTTAGTTCGCCAAAAACGAGTACATTACAGATCCTTTTATGTAATGGAGGCTGGATGACTGTTTATTCCCATAAGGTTACTATATTGATTTTTAAAAAAAATATTTTATTGTATAATTATCAAATATTTTGAAAAAAAAATAATAAACACTTATTTGCAGGCTTCACGTATAAAGAAAATGATAGAAAAGTATTGTTATGAATCAGCACAGGTATTTTTTATTTATGAATTTATTTTTAATATTTTTATAATTGGTAAAAATATATTTAAAACATAATTCAGGGTGGACACGAATATGTTCGAGCTGTTGCAGATTATATTACAAGGGAATCAACTTTGCTAAGTTTTAGACAAGGGGATATAATAAGAGTTGTTAAAAACAAAAATCTTCATTTAGATAAAGGTAAATGAAATGGTTTTAAAATTATGAACATCTAATTCACGCCTTTCAAAAGCTTTTAAATACTATTTATTAATAATAAAAAATAATAAAGTTAATATTAATGCTTGAGAGTACATAATGAATTTGCTATTGCAGGTTGGTTTTATGGAGTGTTAGATTCAGGAGAAGCAGGAATATTTCCCTGTGAATACGTATTGCCTTTAGGAAAACATGAAGTTGGTCAAATGGTTACTAATAAAACGGTAAAAATATTGTTTAATATTGCATTAAACCATAAAAATCTAAGTCGATTAAGTATATAATTTTATTTACTGCAGACTTCGTATAGAGAAGAAAAGAAGCAACTGCTTAGAACAAATGAGCGATTTCCGGTAATACAACAGAATGGAGATAGTAGGCACGAAATTCATGATGATTCTGCAAATCAGTGGATCGAAAGCAAACACGTAAAAAAACTTTAAAGACGATGTAACAGTTTTTAAGACAAGTACCATTTATAAATAATAATATTTATATATTTATAGGAATTAATTGAAGATAACAAAAGCGATCAAAATCAGATGAACGATGGAAAATACTCGCTATTACAATTTGCTCTTTATAACTTCCGCGAAAGTGTCGAAAAGTATGTTATTTTAGCTAATAATATTTTATTTAATTTCGACTTTATATAGATAATTTCAAACATAATTTGTGCATGAATCATTATCAGATACGAAATGTTGAGAGATCGAGATGGCTCTTTGAGAGGTTCCATAAAAATGATAGAAAGTTTGAAATCATCCAAGAAAAAAGGTAAAAAAGGAAAAGATTCCGATTGGACTTGGAAAGAATTGGCAGATATGGTGAAATATACTAAGGTAATTATTATATCCTACTGAGTTATTTTTCTATCTTTTTATTGTTCGAATTAAATAAAATCCAATTAAATAAAAATTAAAAATATATAAATTTTAGTCTCCAATCGAAGCTTCATTACTGAAATTCGAATCACCAGAAGCCAACAAGTTGGCTATAGAATGCTTTATTGGTAAGTAATTTATCGATTTAAGATGAATAGCCATGAATATAAATAACGTACTGTACCGTACATTATTAATTTTAGCCATCATGAGATATATGGGAGATTATCCAATGAATAAACAGCAAACAGAAGTAGATTGTGTCTATACCATTTTAGTAGTAAGTCTCTTTTTTGTCAAAATATTAAATATATTTTTATAAAAAATGGAAAATATGTTAAATTTTAACAAATATTTAATTAGAACTGTCACAAACATCTTCAAATGAGGGACGAATTTTATTGTCAAATTATGAAACAAACTACGAATAATAAGAGTACAAAAACGTAAGATATATAGCTTTTTTAATGCAATTAATATAATTGTTATAATTTAATATAAAAGAATTATTTAAAAGCTAAGAATATATTTTAAATAAAGTTTGATTAATTTTAGGGATAGCTGTCAACGTGGTTGGCGATTATTCTCAATTGTTGCAGCTTATTTCGAGTGCTCAGATTCTCTCAAACCATATTTATTTAAGTATTTAGAAACAGCTGCTTACGACAAAAGAAGAGCTTGTCATGGTAAATATCTATCCATTCACTTTCTATTGAATTTCAAAAAATTTCAAGCAATAATATTTCATATTAAAACACCAAAATAAACTTGTATTTATCAGCAAATACTAATAATAAGCGATATAATCGGTATTACAGTATGTAGAAATAGAAAAAAAATTCTTGAAGTACAATCGAAACTCCAACTCTTCTTATTCTCGAAATATTTTATCTTATTGTACGTTTCAGTAATAACCAAATTTCTAAAAGTAAATGAATATTAAAATTCTAATTATGGCTAAACTGCCATCATTAGCATTTTAATCATGGCACCAAGATAAATAAGATTTTAATAAATTCATAATTTAATTCAAGTGGTATCTTGATATTAAACAGTTTTTCACAAACATTTATCATAAAACAATTACAAAATTTATTTTATCAGCAAAAAATAGATAGTAAAATTATTTATCAATTATCAAGTATGTAAATCATATTTTGATACATAATGATTAATATTCTATTTTATAAACATTGAAAACATGTTGATAAAACATATCATAAAATTCCTTTTGTTGAAATAACTGATTAACTAAGTGAATGGAAATACTGGATATTAGATTTTATTATTATCAAACAGTTTGAAAAAAGCTGTCAATTATGAAAATCCAGAAACAAAATATAGATATAAAAACCAATTTTTTCGTGTGGAATGTAAGACTGTTTTAAGAAAGAAAGGTTAAAACTTATTTCATATTATTTCCATAATTCCTTTTCCCAATTTTTATCAAATTAATGTTTATTTGATAATTGTCTGACTGACATTTTAATATTGTCCTTAAATGCTGACATTTTTAAAGCATTGAAAGAAATAAACCATATTTTATTGTTGAGGCTTTTGTTAAACATTAAATAAATGTTAAATATCATATTCTTATTTAATTCTAATCTGAATATGGTGCTACAAAAATATTTTTAAAATAAATAAAAAGTTTACTGTATTGGTCATGTTACTATTAATGAAGAAAATAACAAAAATGAATAAAGCATTGCCAGAAATTTTATTTAAGTATAACTTTCTACAATTGTAAAAAATTACAAGTATTTACAAAACTGTAAGTAATGATTCTTAAATTATGGATAAACTTTAAACATGTAGCACAGATTAAAAAAAAAAGTTTGTGTATTTGATGTCTACTTGACTGTTTATTCTAAATAACCTTACAACAGAGATTATTAAATGAATCATTAGTTATAATCTTATAAGAAATTTTCTGTTAGGATCAAACTACAATATGAAGACTTTGAGATAATTTAGATATTGATAGGATAAATCCAAAAACCAGTTGAAATACAGGAAATTGAAATTAGAAGTACTCAATTGATCCTGTGGAAAATGCAAGTAACAGTTGTAATGTTTTTGTTAGTTTAGATTTCATCTTTATCTCTAAGTTCATAATTTAAAATTACATAGATTATAACAAGAAATAGAGCACGCTAAATATATTTCTTAAATAAATCTTAATAAGCAATTCTATTTAAAATTTGACATGGTTTCACCTGATTTTTCATGAGTAATTGGAGTAAGCATAAAATTCTCTGTTTTCTTGCATATCTTTATTAGCCAACCCCATTGCCAGTTAGTCTGCTTATAATAAACATTTGAGACTTGCCATATTTATTTTCTACATATATTTATTAACAATAAAATGAACATATATGAGATATTGCAGGCAAATGTAGCAAAATGCTTTCTTACAAAAAACTTGAATACTGAAATTTATATTATTTAGTTAATTATAAAAATGTTCAAAAACTAAACTATGGAAATTTGTAAATAATAAATGGAATTAAATACTTTCATCATTTCTTTGTAGGAACAGCAATGGTTTGTTTACAGAATTTGAGAAAAACATTTAAATATGGAGGAAGAAAAAATGTTCCCAGCATAGAAGAAATTGCTGCTATTTCAGTAAGTAAATATTTTTTTAATTAACATTTATTAAACTTATTTTATCACTTACTATAAAATTGTTAAAAATTGGAATAAATTGAAATTTTTAGTAGCCTATAGATTTAAGTATTGTTAATGATAACATTTTTCTAATTATTTTTATTATGCTTTTCATTTGTAAATAATTCAATATAAGCAAATATTACACCTGTTATCTGACAAATAACTAGTAACATTTTAATAAATCTAGAATCATAATTTTTATTTTTTTTATTTAGTTTTCTTGCATTTATTCACTATATATGCATATGTAATGAAAACCATAAACTGTAACATAATACACTGACAAGTTAGTAAATCTACATATGTATAGATTCGTTTTTATATACCATAGTTAATTCATTATTAGAATATTTATTATATTATCGATATTTGTTTTTATATTATTCATATATTTAATCAATATTTAGGATATTAATTCATTATTATCATTATTTTAAATAATGATTTTTGTATTATTATTATTTTTTTAATTTTATTGTAACTAGTGGTCTTGTTGTATCTTTTCTATTATGGTATTCAGTTAATGATATTACTCTATATTTTTCATTTGTGTGGTTATTGTTGCATTTACAGTATTTATTTTAATTATGTAATGAAAATGTTTTTTAGGCTGGTCGAAATTCGAAGCGTCAAATCTACAGACTTCCAGGTGGAACTGAAAGAGTAATAAATACTAAATCAACTACAGTAGTTCAAGATGTTATTGAAGAAATATGCAGCATTTTGAGTGTCAGAAAGCAATTGGAAATGGAAGAATTTTCCTTATATTGCATTGTAGAAGGAGGTTGGTTTTCTTGTTGTTTGATAATAATTGTTATAAATTTTGTTTACATTGCTAAATTATTATAATTTTACTAGATCCCTATACAATGCCACTAAACAGAGAAGAATATATATTAGATGTGACTACAGAATTACATAAAAATGGCCATATTTACTACTTAATATTTTGTAGATCTGTCTGGTATTATCCTTTACGTTTAGATAATCAACTTTACATAGAAGTTATCTTTAATCAAGTTGCACCTGACTACTTAGAAGGATTACTTATTATTTTACCAGGGGAGAAATTGCCTGATCATCTGATGGTATTGTAACGTTTCACATTAAACATGTTTTTTGTTTTCTCAAAGTAGTTTCTAATTAATGATTGTGTATAAAAAGTTATATTAAATTTATATATTCTTCTAATAAGAACAAGTAATTATTAGATTAAAATTTTCTTTTTCAGCCTGATATTGCCAAAGTTGCTGCACTTCTTCACAGAGCAGCTGATATGGAGCATATGCCCACAAAGTAAGTTATTAAATATTAAATTTAACATATTTTAAAAAATTAACTGTATTATTTTATATTTTTATAGAGAAGAAGTAAAATATCTTCTTCCCAAGCCAGTATTGAGTGTCAAAGATATTCGGCCAACTCAATGGGTGGAAGCAGTCCAGCAAAATTGGGCAGGCATTACCTCACTGACTACAACTGATTCAAAAGCTCAATGCTTAGGTAAGTGATTTTTTAGTAAAGTGTGGGCATTTTTTAAAGAGCATATTATTTCATTATGGTTATTGTTGCATTTATTGTTGTACATAATGATTTTTGTAATAAAACAATTCACATAGAAAGCTTAATTGCTTCCTATGTGAATTGTTTTCTTACAAAAATTTCATACAGATTATTGTCAAAGTTTTAAATCAAATTTAAGGGGAGAGAAAATCTGTTATTTTATAATGACAATATATCATAGGTAATTTTTGCAAGTAATTATTGTTGCATATCAAGTACAGTAAATTTACAAAGATATGATAAATATTTTATTTTATTTATGAAAATTGTACAAGTCAATTTTGAATAATAGAGAATATTAAAAACGTAAAAAGATTTGTTTTAAAATCATTTTGTTAAGATTCTTTTTAAAATATTAGATTTATATACAATTTAGTAGCATTTCTTTACTTTTACCTTATTTTTTTTATCTTTGTATCATATTTATATAGTTTTTAGCAAACTGAAAAATTATTTATGATAAAATAGCTTACTTTAACAATTTAAGTTTTAGTGAATATATCCTATTTATTGCTGTTTCAATGAAAATTTCAATTAACAGTTTTTAAACAGTGTAAACAAATATATAATGATCTCAAACAAAGAAGTGATTCAGATGGTATTTGCATTTCTAAGATAAAGAATTGATGTCATTACATTATGTAAAAAATAATAATTGTATACAAGAAAATTTGAAAGTGCTTTAAAAATAAAAAATAATGAATCATTTTTTTAAGTATGTATACTTTACAAAATTTTAGACATTAATATTCAATGTGTATCTATATTATATTTATGATATATATTGTAGCCTTCAAAAATTGTTCAAATATTGGTAAGATAAATGTTAACGAAATTATTTTAGAAAGAATTTTTAAAATATTTTAAATAGCGCACTAATTTTTTATAAATAATTTCATTTAATTAATTTATTACGGTTTATATTTATGATAAACATTTCCTCAGGAAACCGTATGGAAATATCCATTTTCTGAAGTGATATCAACCAGAAAAGTAAGAGCAGAAGATGGAGCATTGTTTTTAGATATGAAATGTGGAAATTTAATGGTGCAAAAAATAACGAGAATCCAAACGGATCAGGTAATTTCTTCTTTCCCAAATAACGTATAATTGTATTTCTATTTAACTATTTTATTTTTTAAACAGGCTCACGAAGTGTCGCGATTAATTCGTCAATACATTAATATCGAACAACGACATCGTGGAATGGGAAAAGATATCCCACAAAATGTTACCCTTTCTCGTCATCTGGATAAGTGAAACCAGCAGAAATTTCAGCTGATGGGAGAAAAAAACCATTGGTTGCCAAATCATACATAAAGACTTTTATTCGATAATATTTATTATTGTTTATACTTAACTAACACATAGCAGTTGAACAGTCGTGATACTTCTTTAGAAGTGAAGTTTTAACCATATCCTGCTGTACGTATTTGTTTGTAAATTTATTTCTTAACAGTTCATTTGCCCAAATATTGTCTTTTTCAACGTTAAGGGAATGGTGCGCGAAAAACTAACGTTGGCCTTATACAGTTTGGATGGTCTCCATCCACGTGCGTATGAACTTGAATTACTTAAGAATGAATTGTAATTAATAATGTGTATATTTTGTTTCAATTTATAAATAAAAAGTTATATTTTTTATGTATTTGTCATATTTTTAAAATTTATTTATAGATCTATTTTACTTTTTAAAGCTATTCAATATATGTATACTATAACATTTACTGTTTGCTCACTTAATCTAATATTGTAAGCATGAATTAGCTTTAAAAATGCTTCGTAAATCAAGTTTTCCAATATTTTTCACAGACTGATCAAGATTAAAATGTTTTAAAATGAATTTCGTGTAGATCATGTTTTCCGGAGAATTAATTTATTTAAACGTTATTTAATGTAAAATATTCATAAGCAAATGCATCGTCTTTTTAATGTTCAAATAATTAGAATTACACCTAGATCGGGTGGCGAACCTTTTTGAGCCCGCATGCCATATAGTAAGCATACTTAGCTTTAGATTTAAATATGTTTATGCATGCCAAAGTTTTAGACTTAGAATAACGATATTTAAATATGTGAATATGTTGTAATTAGAATAAATGTAAAAAAAACTGATTTGAATAAAGGATGATCAGGTGATAAACCGAAAGGATTATTGAAAAAGACATGATAAATCGAAATCGTATGATACGTTACGTGCCAGATGATTTCTCCTTACATGCCACTTTGGGCGCACGTACTGTACCATAGGTTCGGCACCCTTGACTTAGATTATATTTAAAAAAAAAAAAAAACCTGGAATATTCAAGATATTCGAAATAGTAGACATACAAAATTCTATCCATAAAATTTACATATATAAATCGAATAAAAATTCAAGCGCTAAATTGAAAAAATATTCAATTCTCATTAAGCTCAATCTTTGCACAGCTATTATTTAAATATCTATGATAATAGGTATGTAAATTTTAAAGACTTGAAATAGTCTAATTATCATAGATAATTCAAGGAGCATTTATAAATTGTCTATCGATGGCCAAGTTGATAAAACCCACTAAACACTGGTAGTTTGCTGCGACTTCGCGCTTCACGAACGGGCTGGCTGCATGGTGTTTTCAGGGTTTTTTCGGGTGTCTAACATCTAAATAGAAGTCAGTTTTCCATAGAAAGTCCTCCCGGGAGGCATCCTTGGCAGATCGCCCATGTCCATGGTTGACGAATCCCAAACAAAAGAACGAATAAGAATAATGTTAAGCACAATTTACGAAAATTGGTTTTAAAAATACAATATTCTTAATAATGGAATAGTAAATAGACAGTTTAGATTTAGATTATTGAAGCACTAGACAACTTACATTTCGGATCATATTTTTTCAATCAATTACAGTAAATAACCTAGTTTATTTTACGTTTAGCAAGATGTTTAGTGAGATTTAGAAAAATTTAGTAATTAATTTCAAAAAGATATTTAGGAAATATCAAATCACGTTAATTTCTGATTAATGTGTTTAACACTAGCATACTACCGGGTAATTGAAATAGTGTGATAAGTCTCTATTATCTCTACTATAGTATTTGAGAGTTAGTTTCAAGAATTTTCGAGACAAGAACTTTTTATATAGTAATTGAAATTTTCTATTCAATACTGTCTAAAGAGAGATGTAACAGCCGAATTGCAATCAAATCTGATATGGCGGCAGTTTTTAAAAACTATTTCCGCCCTGTGGGCACTAAGAGGGCCTCTATTAACAAGTCCATTATGGGTTCGGCCAGATGGTGAGGGAGGGGCCCGACATATCCTGATAGACCACCCCCGAAAAATTTCTTGGGATTTATCGATCCAGTCTGAATTCGAACCCGGGTCCCCAAAGCAGTAGGCTGCCACCTTGACCGCTCGGCCATCCAGCCTATATGGCGGCATTTCAGGACACGCAAAAGACATTTAAAAACTTTTTTAATGACAAGTGAAACAAAAATTAATACCAAAACTTACCACTAATACTCTTTTGGTGCTGCAAGCATTAAAAAAAGGATTTTTTTTGAATAAGCGCAAGTGTTGCCATCAAGTTCTGGAAATAAAAGTGGTCACAACTGTTAAATGTTATTCTTATCAGTTATCACCTTACAGGAACGTGCATTTCTTAAGTGTCATTGTTTTCATTGAAAAAAATTGTTGATAATGCACTTCAGGAATTTTGCAGTCATAAGAATTTACGCTAAGGATTAACTCCGCAAGCTCAGAAGAATGAGCACTCAATTATAGGAAACTGAAAGTCTGGGAATACAATCTGGTCGAGGGTGCAAACCTATCACTCCATAAGTTAATGAAGATATTATCATAGTGATTAGGCAGTCAACGAATAATGTTGCAACCTCCGGTAGTGCAAGTGCAATGCCATGGCAGTTAGATATATCCTATGCCACAGAATGTAAGACATTGAGAAACTTGTTATCTGTGTAACGTCAACACAATCAGCAGTAGCAATTGTTGTCGCTGACAGAAAAACCGGACTGACCTTTGTATTGACTTTTCTTGACAGAATGGATATGTTGTGTAGTGGCCATGGAAGATCCTGTGAAGTGGCGAGGCACATTTTTCCCTCTATGGAACAGTGAATACCCGTAACTGTCACATTCGGGCTACGGAAAATCTTTATGTTTCCAGTAGATTCCACTGCACTCGCCTAAAGTTGGTTTTGTGTGGATTTACAGCCGATGGAAGAAGAAGGAAGATGCAAGGATAAGATTTATTCTTGGATCTTCCTTCTTCAATGAAGCTAGTTCCAATGGGCTTGGCGGTGTCGATGTGATGCGAAAATGGGCAGGTACTGTTAGAAATTACTACGTAAAAGTGAACGTAAAAAGTGGAAAGTAAAAGAAACTACACGTAAAAGTGCTGTTTGTTGAAATTTTCAAGTTTTATTTATTAGTTATATTCAAATGTAAATACTTATTTATTCAATTGTAATTGATTATACAAATACTTTTTAGTTTGTTTTATTTTACAATGCTGTTTACCCATTTTTTTTGGAATATTAATATCTGATACTAGTTAGTAAATTGGGCCGGTGGTTATGATGTTGCCAGAGTCAAAATCATACTGCCTAGTGCTAGTCGTACCCGACCTGCAATAATAACAATGCTTTGAGTTAATCATTTCATGTAAGATGGAACGCCTCAGCATATCCGACGCAGCATACAAACAGCATACTGGTCCTTATTCAGATTACCTATAAACGTAAATCAATCAATCTAATAAGAATTATTTTAATTAATTGGTCGAGGAAAATATTTACCGGATCTATCAACCACCTGAAAATGGCTTGAGATGTAATTGACCTGTTATATTTTATATTTGTAGTAATTGAAATATAGTGATTAGAAACATCGTATTGAACAGGAGCAGTGGCATAGCCAAGAGCGATGCAGAGGGATTGAATGCTCCTTTATGATAGATTCTGTCTTAATTTACGCTTATTTCATGACAATCAAACAAACATTTGGCACCTTCTTTATCCCTTTGTTCTCCTTCACTTCAAAATCTGACTATACAACTCAGTAGGAGTTATGTTCAGTGTTCCATTTCATTAATTCTATTCAGTTAAACTAATTGTACCGGGCAAAATATATGCTGTAAAAATTTCTGTTAAGTTACAAATAGGAAAAATAAAGAAACAAATTTATTTACATAAAATTTCTCGATATAGTTAGATTAGCACCTTAACGAATTGGAAATAGATTTCGCCTTATCATATTCTGTATATATAAAATATAAGTTATAGGCTAGATAGATAGATATTTCTATTCGGTTATCCCCTGCTTAGTTTCAATTTCACAAATTTTGTATTTATTGCATATAAGTTAAATTTATTTTATAAGAATTTAATAAAATAATTATTTTTTAATATTGAATTAAAATATAATATATAATTAGGAAATACAGAATGAAGAACGGAAATCGACAGGAAATCTTATCTTAATAGAATTAATGAAATAAAATATTAAACAAAGCTTTATTGTTCGAATATGACATTTCCTGATTATTTAAGCCATGTTAGGAATAAAAATACCGATTATTTTTAGTTCCTTTTATATTTCTTACCTTGATTTATGTACAGTACAATAAGACTCTGAGTTTTATATCTTATCGTTATTTTCTATCAGAAAATAACAAAAAGATATGAAACTCAATCTTAATAAAGAAGTACTGATTGAAATTATTTTGAAAAATTCAGTCCTATATTAATTAACTTTATCATGTAAGGGTTTGTCGAAGTTGAGTGAGCCACATCCGTGTCCGAACGGATGTTACGCCATGTTAAGTCAGGATTTTGACATTGAACGGAAAAAGATTCGCTAATGATTAGTATAAGTTTATTTCTTTGAGATTTTAATTTCATACATGAATAAACATATGAAGGCAAACTTCATTCACGAGATAACAGATTTGAGTAATAAGAATAATTATATATTTAGAAATCTTAAGAATATATTATAACAAATAATTAAAATAATTTTGCGTTGGCGTTATAGTGACATTTTGGCTATAATTTAGAAAGAATTTTGTGAACACAACAGAATTCATGGCGTTTCTTCTTTTTCCAACTAGTTTGACGATAGTACTGTATTTATAAATAAATATTTACTTCAATATTATGCAGTACTTTTGTCTGTTAAATGACTTGGACCCTCAGAGATGTTTAAAATGAACTATAATTTGTATATAGTTCTTTGCACCGACATTTGTAAAATTTGAACACAGTAAAGAACACTGTCTTTACATTAACAGTTCTTATATTCTTATCTCTCTATCCTATGTATTGTAGTATCCACAGAGCCCATTAGCGGGACCGTAGAGGGAGAGATGATGGGAGTCGTGTGTATCTCCAATAAGGTTGGACTTAATGATGATTTTACTCGTTATTAGCATTTTCAATTATATATATATATATAAAACTTATCCCTTTCCCGAAAATTAAGCTTTTTGCCATTTTATAGTAGTTAAAAACATAAAATACAGTAACAGATGGTACCATTAAAATTTTAAATGCTGCCAGGGAAAGTTGAGCAACTCGTTGCTAGTTCATTGACATTTTGGGTTCAGTAGGTCTCAAAACGTCAATATTTGCAAAAAAAAACCGGAAAACCAAATCTGACACGATTCTAATACACGTATTATATACATAATGGCAGGTAAAGTAAAAGGTCGTCGAACCATTCTTAGATCATATTTAAAGAAATTCATCAAAATTCTACTATTGTACATTAACGTAAACAACTGGACATTAGATTTTTTAAATTTGAAACTACAAATCGTATACTAAAAAATTGCTCTCTTATTATCCTATAACACTCACAAATCGGCCGGATGGCCGAGCGGTCAAGGTGACAGCATACGACTCTGGGGGATCCGGGATCGAATCTGGACGTGTCGAGAAATCCCAGGAATTTTTCGGGGGTGGACCGTTCGGATATGTCGAACCCCGTCCCTCACCACCCTGGTCGAACCCAAAATGGGCCGCTAAAAGAAGCCCTCTTAGTGAGAAAAGAATTAAAAAAACATACACAAATTTTACTTTTCGTTCTAATAACAATCAGACTTGATAATCGAATTCTGAGTTTCTTTTTTATATCAGTAATTGGACACTGATATAATAAGATCCTATTACATATAAATTTAGTTTAACGTTCAAACATTATACAACATTTGTGTATTTATATTATAAATTTTACAATATTCGTTCTTTCAATTTTGAGCTTAATTATCTTATCGGTAGTTCCTAGATATTAAAAAGAATGTAAGATTTTTATTAATAAAGAATTAAATGATTCATTTTTAATTAATACCTTAGAGTCTAAACAATAGCTTCAGTCGTTGGACAGCTCGGAAAGAGTTCTCAGAAGGTAATGAATAGTACCTGTAGACGTCGCACTTCGGATTAGGACGCTATTCCAGACAAAAAAGGTATAATTCCGGAGTAAATATTCTTGCTGAAGGGGGTCACCGGCTCAAATCCATTGGAGCAGCACAAGGAAAAATACGGACCTAGAGGACTGGAAGAACGGACTACGACTGACTAAGAACTGGTGATGACTGATTGAGAACAAATCTCTTTGTTAATTCTCACATTATTATGTAGAGAAAAATTAATCCAAAAGCATTAATGAGATTAGTGATATTCAGAGCATATTCTAATATGCAACTGAATACAAAATGTGAAATGGAAATCCCATATTTGTGCAGTAAGTAATTATCCGAGACCGGGTTTTATGAGTAGTTATTTCTTCTGGTTGTGTTAAAATATTCACCTAAATTACACAGTATACGGTAAAACTTGTCCGAAAAAGAACCTGTTCAAAACGGAACCCTGTCATTCGGTACCATGCCATTTCGGTTTTTACTGTATATTTTACACAGGTTTTACTGTATATTTTATTCGGCCTACGAAAAAAGAGCTATGGAAGAAATGTTGGTTGGATTTACCATTTATATTGAATATATACAATAGATATTTTTTATGCAGCCGCAACATCAATATCAATATTTTTATTTAAACTATAATCCACAACCACAGTGCACTTATTGCATAGTAAATTATATCACATGCAGGCAGGCAGACAGTGCGCTTCGCATGTCTAACGATTAAGATTGAACAATGATTGAAATTAATAAATAATTATACAAATATAAGATTTGTGTTATTGTCCTTGTTTTCCATTTATGTCTTTTAGAACAGCTAGGATTTATAGGCTCGACGAAAGCAAAACTGATATTTGTGTAGTAGGAAAAACAACAACCTTAGAATAAGGCCTAGTTCGTTAAAAAGTATAATAAAACCTTAGAATAAGGCCTAGGATCGTTAAAAAGTATAATAAAAAATCGTTTTGCCATATGCCGGATATTTATTATTTATATTTAATAAATTATGGTTTACGTTTCCGTCTTCTTATTCACAAAGACAATACGCAAGTAGGTATTCAAAATATTCAAATTCTATAATGACTTATTTTCAGATACTTTTAGATGTATCTAAACCACTTTGCGAAACCATGAATCGAAACCAAGTGGTCAAAAACTTCAGGAACTTATCACGGCTGGGTGGTGTGAGATGAGACTCGACATATCCGGGACTGATCGCCCCAGATATATCATCCTCATCTCTCACCATCCAGCCGCTTCCAAAGTGGGGCTGGCCAAACCTACGATGAATATAATTGAAAAAGTCCTTTTAATGTCTACAAGTTGGAAAGAATTAAAAATAAAAAAGCGTCTAAAACAATGGTGTAAAAATATATTATGTGATCAAAAAATTCCCAAACATCTTGAAATATACTATTGTATTTACGTTAAAACTAAAAGCATTTCCCGCTGCTATCTAGGTACACTACTTATCCCATTGAGACAGTAGAAGAGTGATACCTTTCTTGCAGAATTCGCGTAGCTGCTGTTGGATCTATTGACACTATTAACACTAGCTCCCTAATCTCGTCATATGAATTCCCGTCCCTTCAATGTTTTTTTTTTTTTTTTTTCATTAGGACAAGCGTGTGAAAATCACATGGCGATAGGTCAGAGATGTAAGGAGAATGGAACAACACTTCCCTATTACATTTCGTCATAGATCTTTCATAGACCGTCTCATATAGGATCGTGCAATATTATGTACCATTCCATCGACGAAGAAGTCTGGATGTTTCAATTTGATGTTCTATATAGCTCGGAGCGTCCACGGTAACTTGTTTCATTGATAATGAATCCTTCTGGAAGAAATATAATTAAAAGTGGTTTTCGATAGTCGAAAAAAATATTAACATAACCTTTCATTTACTGTATTGAAAATCCTTCGACTTTTTCTGTGGCCAGTAACGTGTTTGTAAGCAGCAGGATTCATCGCATGTGACAATCATGGATAGAACTGCTCGTCTTGTGCTTGATAACAGAGAAAATGCTGAAGTGATGTCCTGATACACGTGGTTTTAAATAATCGTACAAGGTGTTCCGAAACTTTTTGATTGCATCCTGTAGGCCTATATAAATTTCCAAAATTTTTATATAGTATATTTTTATGCAATTTAGTATTTCTGTACACTATTAGTGTAAATTAAAAAAAAAAATTCAATTTTCTTAATAAAATTTACATTAGATCGATCTATTTACAATAATTAAATGTTCTCTAAAACTTCTCTTTCGTGTTTCTTTTGAATATATATTGTAAATTAAAAATGAATAATTATTAAATAAATGATGATTTCTTAAATCTTCGACGATAAAGAATATAAATCAGAGTAAAATTTCTTACAGTAGCCTATAAATACGGAAGTAATAGTTTTCATGATATCCTGAACTTTTCTTTCATAGAAATGAAAAACAAATTATTCTCGCTTGCGTATTTTTCTATAAACAGTGGCATTTCCAGATAAGATTTACACATGATGAATTTTATAACAGAAGTGCTAAATTAAGATTTAAATAAACTATTTATCGAAACTATGCAAAAAAAAAACAGGTTAAATTGTTTATTTGCACTTGCTGAAGCTATGGACAATAAAATTAATTTTAATTATAAAAACTATATTTTTAATAAGTCACTTGTTTAATGCAGCATTTACGAATACTGTATACTCCAATATGTCAATGAGATGTAGTCTTAGTTTAGCTTTCAATTAAATATAATTTTTTGCTTTATTAAATGTTAATATACACACCCTCTTATAAAATCAAACATTTTTTATAAGTGGCATTGAAACTGTTAAAAAAATTTAACTATTATACAGTCTACGTATACATGTATGTGTGTGTGCGCGCGCGTGTGTATACGTGTATACATAAAATATATTATTATATGATCTGTTTATATATAATATGTAATGTGTGGGTGTGAAAGGTACTGTATATAACTAAAAAACAATTATATAGAATTTACTATTAAACAATTTGGATTATTATAACTATAATATTACAATGATTTAAAATTGAATTATTTTAAAACTCTAATACTAAATAACATTATGTAAAATTGTTTGTCTAAAGAACTCCTTATCTAGACAACAGAAAGAAAATAGTAGTTAGAGCTTCCGGGAGTTATCACGTCACAACCCGGTGACCTTCGATTCCACAGGAAATACTGGCAAGTTTCGCAAAGTTTATGTCAAAGTTTATATTTGAAACGTTCTTCGATCGTGATTAAAGAGAACGTAGGAACTTCAGCCAATCAGAAGACTCTGTTGCAATGACGTTTTTGTATGATTTAAACTGCATCTCATTGGATAATGTTTTTACATTTGGAAAACGTCTCATTCTAAAGAAGCAGCTACGAGTTGGTCACGACAATATGAAGGAAAGTATCTATTTAATTATCCTATTCACTGTCTGCTTTGCTGAAGGCGAAACAACGCAAGGAATAGAACAATTAATTGCATATTGTTCTAGTTTCCATAAAAATATTAATAAAAATCCAAATTGGAATAAGTGTCTATTGGAAAATTCTTCATTGAAACAACTTGGACCAAACAATTCAACGGCATTTAATAACAACAGATGCTTTTGCGATGAAGACTGTCATCAATACGGTGATTGTTGTCCGGACATTCTTACGTCTTCTAACAGTTCCTGGAGATGTCGATACTTCCATTTTATCCCAGGTATGTATATTTACATGCTACAAACTTGTCCTTTAGACTGGAACGACGACGATGTGAGACAACTGTGCGAAAATGAGCTTTTTTCTCTGGCAAAACAAGGAAAATTTAACCATTATTTACAAGATATACCTGTTTATTCCTTGGACAATAAAATTATTTATAGAAATGTATTCTGTGCGAAATGCAATCGAGATAGGAATTTGCAAAAGTGGAATATTAGTTTTAGTTGTGATAAAAAAATTAAAGATATAACTTTAAGCAATGCAGTATATCAACCAGCTGATAAAGAATGGAAAATACAGCTAGACAACGGAACAAATATTACTTGCATAATTAATATACCAGAGTTAAGCTCATGGAGAAAAATTAAAACTATCTTCAACGGAAGAAGATGCAAAGCTGTTTCCTCGTGTTCTGGTAACTGGAAGAAAATTGACGAAATACAAAAATGCAGCGAGTTTACGCAAGAAGGATATTATTTTTCTAACGAAGATAATATTCATTATAAAAATCCATATTGTGCTGAATGTAACTATATAGATATAAATCATTTGAATTGTAATGGTGGTACAAGATTGTTCTCAGATGTTTTCAAATCAAAACCATGGTATCCGTCCTTAATTGATTTCAACTTCGATTGGAATTCAGAAAACGAGTGTAATCCCCAACAACTGTTCGATCCTATTTCCAACGTTTGTTTTAATCTGTCATGTGACGAATCACATACCAGAAGAGGAATTCAGTGTATCCCAAATAATACAACAAACAGTCTACAAAAATCTTGCACCACAATCGTGTTTAGCAGAGATTCATTCTCTATTTTAGACAACAATACAATTTTTATTAACCACACTAACAAAAACTATTCCAGCAGTCAGTACGAACCAATAATTGTTAATGGAGAATTGAAGGAAGTGTTAATATGTGCCGACGAAATTATCGGTTTCAATTTTTCTCCCGTTCAATATTGGATGTCGGAAATTGGTCTTTTAATATCCATCATCTGTCTACTAATTCACTTGATCATCTATTTGTTGCTACCCAAATTGCATAATCTTCCGGGTAAGATTTTAATATGTTTGTCTTTGTCATTGTTGATTGCCCAATCATCCTTCTTGTTAGGTGCTTACGATTCTTACGTCTCTACGTGGCATTGTGTTCTATTTGCAATCGTCACTCATTTTAGTTACTTAGCAGCATTTTTTTGGATGAACGTCATGGCTTTTGACATTTATCGTACTTTCTGTAAGGCGAAATCCAGTTCGAATCACTCTCGAACATTTGTATTATATTCTGTATACTCGTGGGTTTCTTCGACGCTAATTGTTTTTGCTTCGTTGATCATGAATTTCGTCTTTCCAGGAAATTCGTATTCTCCGAATTATGGAAGAAATGTTTGTTGGATCAGTGAAAAAAGAAGCTTGCTTGTGTTTTTTGCTTTTCCGCTTTTTGTTTTGTTGATGGTTAATATAATCTTGTTTTTTCTGACCGCTAGAAGTCTATTGAAAACGACGAGAGAAACCAAAATGGTTAATAAATTCTCTGATAAAGTTCGATTTATTTTGTATATAAAAATTGCTCTGATGTTGGGTTTGACTTGGATATTTGGCTTTATAGCGACTTTAAGCAACGTTTCTCTGCTGTGGTACCCGTTTATAATATTTAATTCCCTGCAAGGCGCTTTTATTTTCGTATCATTCACCGTAAAAAAGAAGATATTCGATTCCTTAAAGGAAATGATTTTTGGAAAGAGCTTCAAAAAGAAATATCGCGTAGGACAATTGAAACAATGCACGAGTTCTTCGAACCTTTCGACAATTCAAACATCTTTGACGGCATCACTTTCTGCTTCAGTTCCCGTTCTTTGTAATCAAGCAGAGATAATTAAAGCTATAATAAATAACGGAAAGTACCAAGAAGCTAAAGGAAATATTTAAAACTAGGACCTATGAGCAATTAATCCTAAATTTTCCAAGGAAAATATATTTTAAAATAATTAAAATAATTCATTGAATACGAATAAAATCAGTGTAATAAATTATATCTTGAATCAAAAAACTAGAAGAGAAGTATTTATTTCTCTTATTTTCAGTAGTGAAATAATATAAAGTGTTATCTATTGTGATATCAAAGCTTGTTGTTAATACTTTTTACTTAATTATTATAGTTTCGATCGATTGTATTGATAAAATCGCTATAATATGCATCCATCAGCATGTGTACAACACAAATGTAATTAGTTACGTGTTATGGAAGTTTTTATGTTAACTTACATGAAACTATTAATAATATATTTTACATTAATTTTATTAGTTTGTGTATTAGATTATTGAAGTGTTATATGAAATTAAATGCATCGAGCTTATTGTCAATTAAAATGAGTACTTATTGATCTAAAATAGATTTATGCAGTTTATTTAAACGTAATGATTTGTATCAGTTAAAAAATTTTGAGCTGTTTCATTTGAATGAACAAATTTGTAAATAAAAATATTGGCGGTTAGTACTTATTTCTTATACAACATGCGTAATATTCGAAATAATTATTAAAGAAATAGTCCTGCCAATGTAAAATAATATTCCTTTACTTTGGATATATGCATAAGTTGTAAAATATTGTAATATAGGCTATATATTTTATAATATATTAAATATAAGCAGTCTTTAAAATTTTGTATAATAGTCTATATTTATTTTATAAATGAACAGCTATTCGAACATCAGCCTAATAGAATGTTTCAGTTTTTAATGAATGTACTGCGTTACTTTATAAAACATATGAAAAATGTAGAAACAGTTCGGAGTTTCTGTTAATGTACTGTACAATTGTTTTTATTTTGTAAATAAATAAAATATTTTTATTTTATAAAGATGTTTACTAGGCATAATATTTTATTATAACAAATTTTTAAAATTCTACACTATAATGTAACTTTTCTCTCGGTTGCCATAAATTGATAAAAACGAAAAAATAATCGTCTCGTTAAACTTTTTAAATTATGAATTTATATTAAAAACATTAAAAAATTACACAAAATTATCATATTTAGTATAAATACAGCTCTGCAATTCATTCCGTTAAAGATGTTCAATATCTGTCATAACCCTCTCAACACTTGCGTCATCATTAATTTGGATTAAAAAAAAAAAAACACTAAAGAATACATATAAGGTCATAATCAAGATTTAAGATATATTATATGCACATTCCTCCAGATGAGACTGGTGTAATCTTAGATTATCACTGTATTAATAAATATTACTTCGCTCCTGTCATCATAAATCATACAAGTTGGGGCAACTTTAGAACTATTTATTTACATTCCCACATATAACAATTATAAAAAAAATTCAGGAATAGTATACAAGTTTTAATATATTTAATTAACTGATAAGACTCACGAGAAATATTAAAAAATTATAATATAAAAATAAATAATTGATATTTAGATAAAAGCAAAATTTTTGGAACCGAAAAACAATTGTCAAAAATTTTAATTCGCTCAACAAAACTGAATATAAATGATAGAAGTTATTTAATTTATATATATTTATATATTTATTATATAAACTTTATAATGAATATTTCCTAATCGAGGCGAATCTATTGCAATAGATTACGAAATATTTGCAACAACGTGGCTTGACGTTAATGTTTTTAAAGTTGTTACATTATGTCACAACTCTAAGAAAACAGATTTTTTTTTTCTTTATAAAAATAGATTTTAATAATCACGATAGTTATAAAAATACTAAAATATATTTTTGGGCAGCAATTTGAAAAAAATTGTAGACATATGAATTCCCACTGTCTGACTGCCTTTACTTAATCTCGAGAAGAGTTAGATAGATGAAAGAAGTGACCAGAAATGGAAAGCTTAGGAACAGGAGGGTTCGATTAACTATACAAGAATTTCCGATGGAAACCGGAAGTTATTTCAATTCAAAACTTTTCCCCTGAAAGCAGTTAATAGATGACCGAGACGACTTTATTGTTAAAGGAAAAGTATGATGTACAGGGGCAAGCCACTACTAATTTGAGGTGGAGAGCATATATTTTAAATTAAATAAATTTAAAATATGACTCAAAATTTCAGCCCAAAATGATTTCTCGTTATATGTATTTGTTAATTCTTAATAAATATTGGTTCGATTTTCATTGATAATTAAAATATGAATAACAATTTCTATTTAAACAAATATAAAATTATAATTATTACAAAAATTCTTATAAAACATTTCGTGTTTCTACAATCGATTTTTTCAAATGTTATTTGTTTTAAATGACAAATAGGCCACAAAATGTTAATGATTAATATTGATAAAATATTTTCATTTGTTTTGTCGAAACCGTGTCTTCTTTTTCTTGTTTTGCTTGGTTCTATGTCACGACTTGCTGAATTTATAGACACTTGGCAAATAATTTATCATTAACTTTTTAATCCATAACCTTATGATAAATTATTTGCCAAGTGTCTATAAATTCAGCAAGTCGTGACATAGAACCAAGCAAAACAAAATATTTTCACTTAAAACAATTAATTAGTAATTTCTAAATGCTTTAAAATTTTCTATTCCAAATAAAAATAAAGCTTTAAACTTATTTTTTGAGTTTCTAAAGTATTTGTTAATTTCAAATATTTCAATATTATTTATGCAGATCTACCAAACAATGTCTACATAAACAAATATCATAATTATTTTCACATAATTATTACATTATACAAAAATTTAAAATATTACATTTTAATAGATTAATGATGAATTAAACAATCCACATGAAAATTCAATGTAATTTCTGTAATTACATTGTCTAATTCTATTGAAGAAAAATATCAAGATAATCCTACTCAGAAATAAAATACTTTTCAAGGCCTTTATATACTTAAATGTTACTTTAAAGTATTGTTTATGAATCATTGATTTTCCACAATTTTTATTTGAATTTTCTTCTTTGGAAATGATAGAGAAAAATTTTTTCAGCATAAAAATAATAAAAAATTGTTATATCATTAACAAATGACATAAGCATTTGTTAATGATATGAAAAAGTCAACTTCAAATTTTAATGAATTAAAATTGTATTAATGGAAATATTAAAGAGAAATAAATTTAATTTTCTAAAATGGTTTGCAAAAATTTTCCATAGAAATACACAAGTAAACTTTTTATGTTGAATTTATTTCACAACTTTATTCATTTGTATATACAAATCAAAATTAATTCATAATTAACAAATATAGAAAGTATATTAATCATAAAATTCAAAAAAATACATCATAGTAAAATTTTTAGAAAGATTTCATAAACAAATTTAAGTATCAGAGCTTTTTTAATTAATTTTTCCATGAATAAAAGAATAAATATACAAAATGTCTGGAATCATTTAAATCTTTATTTATAGTAAATCAGGTCATTAGCGTAGTTTATACTTAAAATCTACTTAATCAAAACAAGGTTTGAACAGGTTAATTATAATTTAATCTTTATTAAAGCTGAATAATATTGTAAAATCTTATATTAGATAGAGTAGAAACAAGAAAATGTAAAGAAACATTAATTTTTTTAATACTTTATTCTTTATTTTCGCACTAAGCCAAGAAAACGTAAAGCTTTTAAAACACAATTTAATTTAAAAACGAAATTTTTTTCTTACATAACAATTTTCTTTTTTTGGTATTAAAACTTTACACTTTCTTATTTCATATGGTAAAGTAATATTTCAGTTTACTAATATCCGAAAATATTTTTAAAAAATTTTAAAAATATAATTTCCTGTAGTTAATTGAGTAAACTTTTAAATACTTCACTTAGTTTCTTGGTATTTTTCATTGTTTATTATAGCTTTAATTATCTCTGCTTGATTACAAAGAACGGGAACTGAAGCAGAAAGTGATGCCGTCAAAGATGTTTGAATTGTCGAAAGGTTCGAAGAACTCGTGCATTGTTTCAATTGTCCTACGCGATATTTCTTTTTGAAGCTCTTTCCAAAAATCATTTCCTTTAAGGAATCGAATATCTTCTTTTTTACGGTGAATGATACGAAAATAAAAGCGCCTTGCAGGGAATTAAATATTATAAACGGGTACCACAGCAGAGAAACGTTGCTTAAAGTCGCTATAAAGCCAAATATCCAAGTCAAACCCAACATCAGAGCAATTTTTATATACAAAATAAATCGAACTTTATCAGAGAATTTATTAACCATTTTGGTTTCTCTCGTCGTTTTCAATAGACTTCTAGCGGTCAGAAAAAACAAGATTATATTAACCATCAACAAAACAAAAAGCGGAAAAGCAAAAAACACAAGCAAGCTTCTTTTTTCACTGATCCAACAAACATTTCTTCCATAATTCGGAGAATACGAATTTCCTGGAAAGACGAAATTCATGATCAACGAAGCAAAAACAATTAGCGTCGAAGAAACCCACGAGTATACAGAATATAATACAAATGTTCGAGAGTGATTCGAACTGGATTTCGCCTTACAGAAAGTACGATAAATGTCAAAAGCCATGACGTTCATCCAAAAAAATGCTGCTAAGTAACTAAAATGAGTGACGATTGCAAATAGAACACAATGCCACGTAGAGACGTAAGAATCGTAAGCACCTAACAAGAAGGATGATTGGGCAATCAACAATGACAAAGACAAACATATTAAAATCTTACCCGGAAGATTATGCAATTTGGGTAGCAACAAATAGATGATCAAGTGAATTAGTAGACAGATGATGGATATTAAAAGACCAATTTCCGACATCCAATATTGAACGGGAGAAAAATTGAAACCGATAATTTCGTCGGCACATATTAACACTTCCTTCAATTCTCCGTTAACAATTATTGGTTCGTACTGATTGCTGGAATAGTTTTTGTTAGTGTGGTTAATAAAAATTGTATTGTTGTCTAAAATAGAGAATGAATCTCTGCTAAACACGATTGTGGTGCAAGATTTTTGTAGACTGTTTGTTGTATTATTTGGGATACACTGAATTCCTCTTCTGGTATGTGATTCGTCACATGACAGATTAAAACAAACGTTGGAAATAGGATCGAACAGTTGTTGGGGATTACACTCGTTTTCTGAATTCCAATCGAAGTTGAAATCAATTAAGGACGGATACCATGGTTTTGTCGGAATACCTGGAGAAGGTAAAATGTCTATAAAGCAATTTAAATTATTTATATCTATATAATTGCATACAGCACAATATGGATTTTTATAATGAATATTATCCTCGTTAGAAAAATAATATCCTTCTTGTGTAAACTCGCTGCATTTTTGTATTTCGTCAATTTTCTTCCAGTTACCAGAACACGAGGAAACAGCTTTGCATCTTCTTCCGTTGAAGATAGTTTTAATTTTTCTCCATGAGCTTAACTCTGGTATATTAATTATGCAAGTAATATTTGTTCCGTTGTCTAGCTGTATTTTCCATTCTTTATCAGTTGGTTGATATACTGCATTGCTTAAAGTTATATCTTTATTTTTTTTATCACAACTAAAACTAATATTCCACTTTTGCAAATTCCTATCTCGATTGCATTTCGCACAAAATACATTTCTATAAATAATTTTATTGTCCAAGGAATAAACAGGTATATCTTGTAAATAATGGTTAAATTTTCCTTGTTTTGCCAGAGAAAAAAGCTCATTTTCGCACAGTTGTCTCACATCGTCGTCGTTCCAGTCTAAAGGACAAGTTTGTATCATGTAAATATACATACCTGGGATAAAATGGAAGTATCGACATCTCCAGGAACTGTTAGAAGAAGTAAGAATATCCGGACAACAATCACCGTATTGATGACAGTCTTCATCGCAAAAGCATTTGTTATTATTAAATGCCGTTGAATTATTTGGTCCAAGTGGTTTTAATGAAGAAATTTCTGACACACACTTATTCCAATTAGATTCTTTATAGATATTTCTAAAAAACATATTACAGTACGCTACTAATTGTTCTTCGTTATTTATTTTTCTATCTTCAACTAAGCAGACAGAGAATAGGATAACGAAACAGATGTTTTCTTTCATTCCGTCGTCGTTATCTTAGGTCTATTGCCACAACAAACATTTTTAGGCAATAAAGACAGTATTCAACGGAAAGAAATTTAAATCATAAGTAATGTTGAAATGGATTTCTCTGATTGGCTAAAGAGAATTCATTCTCTTTAATCTCTATCGAAGAACTTTTCAAGTATGAACATAAACTTGCGAAATTTATTGTTACAAACAATTTCCTGTCCATGTGAATGTCGTCGGGTTGTGATGTAATACTTCTAGTATATTCTGAATGTCATTTTCTTTCTGTTGTTACGATAAATATAAATTTTTTCCTCGAAAATTTGACTTAAAATTATTTAATATTAAAGAATATATTTAATTCAATTTTAAATGTATTTATTATGTACCAAAATATACGTAATATTCTACTATTTTAGGAGACGATACTCCAAATTCGAAATATATAGACATAGAACTAATCTATTCTAGAACCCATTTAAATCGACAGAAGATAATGAGAAAGATTTTAGGTTGTAGAAATGCTCTATATTCGAATTCTTGGATACTTGGAAGCTTACTGAAGTTTAGAAAATCAAAGTATTTCTCTAGGCTAAGATATTTAGATACAGTACAAGCTGTGTCACGACTGAATATTGTATTTAATAGATCATGACCAGACAACACCCGGACTGAACTTCTCTCTTACTCCCTTCTATATTTAGAGACAATCTTTTAAACATGTTTTTGTTTTATATATGTATATCAGAACTCCCAAACGTCGACATTTTGTACAGACCTATCCACTTTTAGAGGATTCTGTCTGCACGTCCTGTTTCTATTTTTAGTAATAAAATTTTTTCAAATATTCTATTTTTGTCTATTTTCAACTAAAAACTCAAGACAATACGATAATTATTAAGATTACGTACGAAAAGCAGCTTTTTTTTTTTTTTATAATTTTTAATCTGGGAACTCTAGATTGGAATCGGCTATTGGCAAGATGAGAATTCTTATACAACCAGGATAAATAAAAGCATCAACATAATGTTTTAATTGACAAACATTTTGAAAATTTTTATAAATTTACAATTAAAAATAAAAGCTATTTTCATTTTTTTTTCATTTTATATTTGCATACTTAATACGTACAAACTTTCATGCATTCAATTTTATGATTATAACTATGTACGTAAAACTGACAAAACAAAACTGAATCAGCCATATGATATTCAAAATACATACTTTCACGTAAATACAAAAATATAACTGCCCCAATTAACTAAGCATAGCTTACAATTTCTAAGAAATTAATTTTAGTTTATAAAACAAATATTAAATTGTATGAATATTGATTAATATTGATTTCGTGTTGTCAGTTACATGTCGATCCACATAACTTTTAAATTTTGTAGCTCAACATGTAACTCAAATTTAAGCGCACGAGTCAGATGAGCAAGAAAGCGATTGCCTTCTGAAATCCTCCCAAATGGTAAAAATTCAGACAAAGGAGGAACTAAAAGAAAATCAGACATAGAAAGCAAAAAGATTAATAAATTATTAGTGATAAAAAAATTAAAAATTGGTAATAAATTGTATAAAATTTTGGATAAACCAGCTCACGCTGTCCCTTTCAACCAGTGACTCAATAAGCCCAAGGGGCGAAAGAATTTGAAAACAATAAAGTAACTATTTTTTACTACAAAATAAAAACCACCATAAAAATAACTATAAAAACCACCATAAATATCCTTAAAAATATCAAACATAAACAAAAATTTAGTTCTTGTTAAATTATAGCAATCAATATCTAAAAGAAATAATACCAAAACAATCGTAAATCAGATAAATGCGTATATTTAATAAAATTACAACAAAATTAATGTACAGTATTCTCTGCATCAACAGGGGATACGTTCAAAGTCCTCCAGTAAATGTTTAAAACTTAGGATAACATCGAGCCTATATACGTTTTTTAAAATAGATACATTTCTAAGAAACAGTTTAATAAACCAGCAACGAGTTGCTCAACTTTCCCACAGTCATGTGTTATCATATTTTATTATTAAAAGCTTTTTATATTTTTAATTATTATAAAATAACAAAAGGCTTAATTTTGAAGGAAAAGATGGGATTCATAAAAAATTTTCAAATGCTAATAAGGAGTAAAATCGTCATTAAGTCCGAACACACGACTCTCATTATCACCCACTCCCTCGACTTTTAACCACCAAAATTTAATAGCATCAATCCCCCTAATAAACAAATGCCCCTGCCAAATTTCAGAAATTTTCGACTAAAAGCACAGGAGTTATTAAGCTTCAGTGTGAACAAAATCGTGCTCCCCACACTGAAATCCTAACATATAAAAATTCCCCCAAACTTTTTTGCATTTCTCGACGTTTCTCAGAAATGAGCCCAAAAATGTAAAAAATCTGGGGTGAGTAATTTTTGCAGGATCACCATACTTTCCTGGCTGTTATAACAGAAGCAAAGTAAAAATTATACTGTCATATTACGCAAAATAAGTTAAATAAAGCACTGTAAAGTTTATAGCGAAACCGCAAGAGTAGATATTGCTACATGGTGGTTGATACACTAACTAAAGGATTAGAGAGCTTCCACCATTCGGTATAGCCCTTGGAAAGGGAAATACGAAGAGTTATAGCAGAAGTGAGAAGAATGAAGAAAAAAAAAAGGATGCTAGGAAAGTGTGGTGGTTGATACAGCGTTACTAACTGTGTGAGTGGTAGACTAGGAAAACTGTTGACAAAGAGATGATTTATAACTCTGTTCAGACAAACGGATGCGCGGAAAATTTATGAGTTTCTAATTTTTAAATTTAATATTTATTTAAATTTTCAAAACGAGAGTAACTGAATCAGCGGTTAAGATATGGTGTATAAAATTAAACTTAAAAAGTAATACCAATTAGAAAATTATTGTTATGTTAAGTAAAATAGATACTACTTTATTTATATCTGATGAATCATTTAATAAAAATGAATAGAAAACGATTTAAAATAAAATTGTTATTAAATTAAAATTATATTCGAGTTTATTATATAACATCTATTGTTGTTACATCCTACGTTAAAACATTATATCGTTTTATTGCAAACTTTTATTTCAGACTACAATCGATCGTTTATGAAAAAAGACAATAGATATTTTACCTTTCAACCACTAAAACCACTAAAACTTTAAAATCTAACTTACAGAATAAAATTATGCAAAATTTTCATTTATTTTTCTTGTAAAACGAATAAAAAATACTTAAATTATTAATAATTATTCGATTTATTGATATCTTTAATTGAATTAGGGGAGACCGGGGCAAGATCGGCATGTTAATCTTTACTTAAATTTTGTGTAATAAATACTGCTGTAAACTGAAAAAAAAGCTTTGCATATTGTCTATTGGAATGTTACCTTACTATAGAACTGGTTAAAATCAGTTTGGAAATAAAAATAATTAAAATAATTACAACTTTACAAGAAGAGAGAAATTGACGAAGTTGCCCCGGGTATAGGGGCAAGATCGGCAACTTCTCTCTTTTTGTAAAGTTGTAATTATTTTAATTATTTTTATTAAAGTTGCCCCTGGTATAGGGGCAACAGTAATGGGGCAAGATAGGCACGTATATAAAATTATGTTATTAACAATGTATAAGTTGGAATTCACTATTAAAACAAAGAAATACAAATCCAACACCCATTTAATATTATTACAACGAAATGCAAGTTCAAAGACATATATACATGAATAACAAATGCAAACATGTTTTCATTTATCATCTGTTTGATTTTTATCCTTTGCTTCTAATGTGGCTTTATGTTGCCGATCTTACCCCGCTAGTCATGATTTCGAAACATTAAGTACAACCCTGAGAACAGAATGCCAAGCCACGATCTGGCCACGTGAATAAGTTGAAGTTACATCCTTCTAACAGGAAAAGTAACTTTCGTTATCATGGAATTATAACAAAACCTGCCAATTCAATATAAATGGAAAAAAAATATTATATGGAATTGAACGAAAATGAAAATTTGCTTGATAATTCAACTACGCTTGTTGGAGAACAATAAAAACACTACACTCAACAAGCCACCAATAAAACTCAACTGCCTAACCTATAACCAAAGTCTCCTTTTAATTTGTTTTAAAAAAAACCGCTTGACAAACTTGCCCCGCATGCCGAAGTTGCCCCGATCTCCCCTATATCTAAGTTTAGTGGTTTCTATTATTTTTATTATTCTTTGTTTCTTTTTTCATATACAATATCAATTTTTAGCCTAAATTTCTAACTTCTGTTCCTGTAACTCTGTTTATTTTTTCCAGTTTGTAGTTATAAAAATGATTCTGTCTTCCCTGCAATTAATAATAAAACATTATAGTTATTACATATATATTTTAATAATTTGAAATTGTTGTTGTTGTTATTATTATTCTGCCTTTTAATTTACTTAAATATTTTCAAAATTAATTAATTTTTTGACCAAGTCAAAAAATATTATTTGACATTGATGGAGCATTATGTGATCAGAATACCAATAAACAAAATTAGTTATTTATGTTAGGTTAAAAATAGTTGTCTCTATCCGTTCAGCTGTTTAAAAAATGTTTAACTTTTGTTTAAAAAAATAAACTTAGATTCCATTACTGGCAATCTTGATAAATTATAAGTTTGTTTTCTTATATACATTAAAATTTAGATTATTTTATAGTTTACTATTCTAAAGTTTTTAAATATTTATATTTTCCTTCTAGATTTTTATATTTAAATAATTATTCATTTATTTCAATATACTACAGAAGAAAAATTAATAATATAAATTTATTTATTATACGAGGGGTCCGATATTAAAAATACAAGCCAAAATTACACTAACATTTACAATGAAAGAAAATATTTAATATATTCCACAAAAACTACATACTTTTGTTTATTTCTGGACATTATCACCATAAACGTTGAGACATTTATTCCAGCATGACACTAGTTTGATCATCCCTTCACGGTACTGTTGCTTGTCAAATTGCTTGTAGTAGTCCAGAAGGTGTCTTCCAATTCTTCCTGTTCCACAAAGTGTTTCCCCTCCAAAAATTTCTTTAAAAGTCCAAATAAATGAAAATCCGAGGGGGCTAAATCTTGACTATACTAAGGATGTTGCAGAACCTCCCAATTCCACTGTACCAACCACAGTTTGGTTTGATTTGATGTGTGGAATATAGTCCAGATTTATAGTCCAAACTGGAATCAGGATTATCCTGGAACAAGTAGCTTTGCATTGTTTTATTAACACTTTTGGGGAATTAATAATACAAACTCCAGTTGTACTGTAGTTATGCATGAATAAACTTACCAATTATTACTAATTTTATCCAATTTCATTAAATTATAATTGTAATAACAACAACTTTCACATAATGGACACATCATACATTAACAGCCTAATTTATATTTGCTTAAGTGTATATTATACCAAAATGCATTTTGGACCTGCTAGATTTAAATCCCTCTTCAGTTGGCTTTTCTTATAAATATATATACTTAAAAATTAAACTTTTGACCGACATTTATAGTGTACTTTATATAAAAGTTTTCAATAAAGTATCACACTATGTATTTGTCCAGCATAGCACATCTCAGAACTGCACGTTCCTGGAGAGTAAATAGTTAGCTGCTTACATTACTGTTATAAGTAGTCTGACGGATTATTATTATATACAATGAGAAATTATGAAAGAAAATGAAAAATTCAATTAAAAGTACAATCCGTTTTCATTTCCTTTGTTATAAAATTTAAAAATAAATCAGAAATTTGATTATCATTATGAGCATGAAAAATATTTCTGGAAGATAGTAATCAAATTGGTTAAGACAATATCTTATATATGTCAAGTTGTAATTAAAATTGAAATATGCTATAGAATATTAAATCAGTTACTATAGGCATACTTTGCTTTAGAGTGCTTTATGAATATAACACTTTTCATTATATTCAAGTGTTTTGTTTTCAGCAGCCTTTCAGTATGGTTTTACCATAGTATTATATTAATTATACTGATTATGCATGTTTATTTAGTGAGAATGTAGTTTAACTGAAAATAATCAAATTTGTTAATTTGACTGCAATTTTCAAATTACAGACCTATAGATTACCACTGTTGTGTCTGTGTGTCAGTCTTTCCTTACTGTCAAGAATGGAGTTAGATAATAATCCTGATATGGAAAGCTCAGGGGCCTGAGGCCCCAATTAATGTAATTTTCTAAATTAAAATATTAAATGGAGTTAGATTATTGGTACAAGACACTAATTTGAGGTAGAGAGCATATATTTTAAATTAAAAGAATTAAAAATATGATTAAAAATTGCAGCCTATCATTGTGATGATATCACAATAAATAATTATTAATTTTATTTTATTCTATCTTTTAAAATTTTAAGGCTCTCATTTACTTAACATTTTTTTAAAAACAAATCAAGTTCAAGAAATCTTTTAGACTAAATTGAGATATTGATTTTCTTTCAATTTATTGATGATAAATGAAATCTAAATGTAAATTTATCACTTAAGTTTATTATATAAAAATTACATTTGAATACATTATTATTTTATATAAATCTCTCAGATAAAAATTTAGCTATCTGTAAAGTTGGGTTTTCTCTTTTCTACAAAAGCTGTCATTCCTTCTTTTCGATCATCCTGAAAGAGTTTTTAAAAGTTTATATATATATATACACACACACACACATAAAATAATTTTTACCAATTATTAGCTAAATACAACTAATTATAACTACTTACAGTGGCAAAAGTTGAATGAAAATATCTCTTTTCAAATTTCAATCCCTCTTGTAAAGTTGTTTCATATGCTGTAAATAGACACAATAAAATTTATAAATTTCATAATTTTAAGAATTTTAGCTGTTTTCTTGTTCAAATATTGAAAATTTTTAATAAATTTAATCATAATAATTTAATTAATGTAATTTCAGTAATTAAAACAAATTAAAGCTTATGGTATTTAATTAATGAAATCATATTGTCTAAGAAATATTCAGACAAATGTTGTAAATATTGTTTCCATGGTAATTCTGAAAGTAAAAAATTTTGTAAGATACTTTACATATTGTTTGAACAAATATCATAAAGTTACACTGTAACAGCCTACTTAATTTTATATATAAAATTTATTTTAAAGCTATTTACAATAATAAACATGTATTGTTTTTTGTGCTACCATACTTAATACTTAGGATAGTGGGACCCAAACTTAGGCTCCTAGGCCAAATCTGGCCTGCTGTACAAGTTATTCAAAATGCAAACATATTTGGCACATCACTTATAAATGATAGAAATAGGTCTACTTTTGTATATGTGGAATGTACAAAATATTCATGGCTTACATACCTCTGACTTATACACAATTTCCTGCCAATCAAAAATGTTTGTGCACCATTACTTTAGCTTTCCACATTGTTTGATAAGATTTTCTCCAAATGTATAGATAATTTTTTAAATAATGTGCACAAAACTATAATATTTGATTTCATTGTTTATATTGACTATCAAACTAACTATGCATAAGTATCTGATACATTTTTGAAAAAATAATCTTAAGGTTATCAAATGTTTGGCAGGAGCCATACTCCATCAGTAGAGCCATTTTCACAGATAGAGTGCATGGACCACCCCTATCTGTTCTAGAATGGTTTCTGTAAATAGGAATCATTGATTTTGTATTGAACATCACTTATAACTGGCATTTTGCTGCATGAAAATGCACAGCCAATCTTGTTAAATGACAATGCTTGTTGCGATATTGCTGGTATAGTAACAACACTGTTGCAGAAATGTGACTGGGAGATAATTAAGTAGCTGCCCTATTCACCCAACATGTTTTCATGTAATCTTACTTGTTCTGAAAACTAAAGAGCCTGTACAATGTCAACAATTCACATCAACAGATGCCCAGTCTAGCTGCATAAAACAATCCATGTGCTCTATTCATAAAAATGGCTCTGTCAATTGAGTACAGCAGATAGCTGCTGGACATCTGATAACAGGCACTAAACATGGCCAGAGATTACATGGAGAGTTTGTAAAAACTTTGGTAAGTACAATGCAGTTCATACTTTTTTATTCATTAGTGATCAATAATTATGACATGACCCTGATAGTAATTTATATTTTGTTAAAAGTATTAATTTAACCATAATGTTCAGATTTGCTCTTTCTAACCAATTTAACATGTGTGCTAAAATAATTATATAATAATGAAATTATAAATTTCACATTTGAAATATATTTTATATCACATAATAAAAGATTATTATTACACAGATCTGCAAGTAAAAAACTGCATAGGATTTTTATATATTTTCTTACAGATTTCAACTTGGTAAAAATGAAAAAGTTACCAAAAAAATTCCATCTCGTCAATTTTTTTGTTACACTCAAGTTTTTGTTTGTATTTAGCATAAAATTCTTAGTTAACTTAAAATTTACTATTTTTCTTTTTATTTAAAAAATAGCCTTAAAACGAAGAATTCTCACATTAATTCTATCAATTATAGCTGGACTTGGTAATCTATATATATATAAAAATGAATGTATGTCTGTGTGTGTGTCCTTCATGCATTACCACACCGTTTATCTGAATGTCGTGAAACTTTGGGAAGATGTTTAATATACTCCGGGGAAGGTTTGTGGCATAGTATGATTGCCATGAAACTTTGGAAAGTTTTTTTTAATTTTTTAATACACTCCCGCGAAGTACATTTATCCTACGATAGATGGCGTGCGTTTACACGAGCATTCGCACACAGTGTGTTCAATCAATTTCAAATTGTGAAGATCATTTCCCCCCTTCAAAAAATATCTCTATATATGCATTTGTGAACTGTTATTTATGATATATTTATAATAATTTTTGTTTAATCACTTTATTTCAACTTTTTTTTTGCTAATTATGTATTCGCTCGAGCTTCGTTAAAATCTTAACTGTACCCCGAACAACAACCAAAGTTGTAGAAGGAAATTTGCCTATTTTACCAATCTAGGGATCCCCTTTTCCAAATTTTAATATCATCTAATAATTTAAAAAGACAAATTACAATAAAACAGTTTATTATCCAACTATCAGAAATTTCACAACACGCCAAAGAAGAGAGGAAGGAGCAATTAATTAATCAAAATTATAAAAGATTTTTAAAAATATATAAAAATGAGGAATATCGCACTTCAGTCAATCGCTGCGAGTGTGTGGGTTAAATTTGGAGAATCCGTGCTTCTTATGGACAACTGTATGTGTCCAGCTCACGCGTCGGAAAACCTGATTTATTCGTGTACGCACCAGACGAAAAAACAAAAAATATCGTGTATCCACAAGCACTCCAATAAATAAATAGAATTGAAACGACACTTTGAAATGTTTTCCCGATGAAAATGAATAATAATAATAAGTTTCAATAAAAATGATTAAATGTAAATTTAATTTTATCATAACGAGTTTGCTTGAATTTCCTTTCTTCTGAAATCGCAGCAATGCGCGACGGGTAAGCTAGTAAATAAATAAAAATGCTAATGGTTGAAGAGAGTAGTGGTAAGGGGAGGTGGGTTAAGTAGTTTTAGCGTTAGGAGGAAGGTTTCATGATTGTATAGAAACAGGTTAAAAGTTAATAGTGAATAATATTATTGGTGAGGTTGAGCATGTTTCAACATGTTATCTGGGATACTAGGAATAAATATAAACAAACTGCTGTTGGATTAGATCACGTTTCAACAAGCTAAATAAGTTCAGTATCTCACTGGCCATGTAATGTGACACTCAGTTTATATCCAGCATTTGAACACTACTGTGCTTGTATTTTTATTTCTGGAATATGGCTCGCAGAGGTTATGTAATTTCTCCCAACAGCTTTTGTTACGTTTGTGGTGAATACACAGTGAAAAGTCAACAAAGAAACATAAGTGAGTTTGTGAAAAAAGTTTAATTTGCATATTTCAAATTGAAACTTGGAGATCAAGACAAAGCAGATTTTTGGAAACAATAGGAGAAAAGGAAAAAGAAGCATGGGACTCTTTCAAGAATGTAGTGCACAAGTTTTTGGGGAATACTAAGGACTCTGACTACAAAACCATTGTACAATGCATGCTGGCAGCAGCATATGAAGCTCGAGGATGCAAGATGAGCTTATAAGTTCATTTCTTACACTCCCATATTGACTATTTTCCTGAAAACTTGGGAGCCTATAATGAAGAACAGGGTGAAATATTTCAACAGGATGTCCATGATAGCGAGAAACATTACCAAGAAAAATGGGATGTCAATATGTTAGCTGACTACTGTTGGATGCTCAATCGAGAAACCAGAGAAGGAAATCGGAAACAAGTTTGGAGAAGCATCAAAAAGAAGAAAAGGTTTCATAAGAAAAAAGAGTAGACCTAAAATTATGTAAATATCAGAAACAATTTGTTGATTAGTTGTAAGAAAATATAATATATTTAGTTCATGGTAATAAATAAGAGTTTTTTCAAAAATTTGTTTTTATTTTGCAAAAAACCTTTACGTGATGGGATGTAATGGAAGTTATTTTTAGAATCTGTGATCTTTAAAACATATAATTCAGCAAAAATATTCCATGCAGCTGGAAAATAATTTTTTTGCAGACCTGTGTTATTATCCTAAACTATGTCAATTCATGTTGTATTGTACCTAATATTGTTTGCATTACATTATCATAGAAAATTATAATTTACTATCAGGGTCATGTCATAATTATTGATCACTAATGAATAAAAAAATATGAATTGCATTGTACTTACAAAAACTTTTAGACACTCCATGTAGTCTCTGGCCATACAATAACAGAAGTATAACAAAACTAGAAAAATCAAAACTAATTCTAATCAAAATTTCATCCTTTCCTCAATTCTAAGATGCACTTTATTCATTTTTACTTGTTTCAAGTAGAACTGCATATTTCAATCAAAAGCATCTTACATTCACTGTCTGAAACATCATCTGATAATCATCATGAATAGACACATGTGTATTAAGTATCAATAATAAATGTTTTCAGATATAATCAATTCTCACTTCAGTCCAAATAAGCTTTACTGCCAATAAGTACTTAATTTAAACTCCTTTTTAATGTTTAAAATGCCTTCAAAATGTCATTATGATGCAGCATTAAAATGTAAACTTGTATTTGCAAAGCAGTATGGAGAAACATCTGCTCAAAAATTACTTGTTTCATGGAATTAAAATGTTTTTATAACTTGTCATTGTTTAACAAAATTTAATAATGTTAACTATTTAAAAATTTTTCCTTCATTAAAAAAATTATTATTTTAAAATTTGATTTCAAATTTATGGTACTGTACATGTTAGGAGTGAGGAAATATGATATTATCTTTCTAAATTAATGCTTTCTAGCAATAAATAAAAATTTACCTTGATTAACAGCTTCTTTGCAAATAGCAACTGTTAATTTTGACATACTTCCAATTTTTTCACCTAATTTTATGGCTTCATCTACAACTTTGTCAGTTGGATAAACTTTGCTAACTAATCCTAAAAAAATTTTAAAATTATTTTTTAACCATAAAATAAGTAAAATGATAAAAAAAAATAACCAAATATATTTATTCTTTGAAAACTTCTTTTATAATATAAAAAAGTTAACTTAATATAACAGTATAATATAAAAACTTACAATAATTATTAGTTTATAGTAAATATTTTATAATCATATATTAATCATCATCCTTATGAATTATCAAGAGCATGTATTATCATCTTATTTATATCCTATTACAAGAGTAAGAAACTTTTTGAGTATGTATGACAAAATAGGTACATTTATTTTTAAAATTCTATATGCTAAAATTTTACAGTTTAAAGAAATGAAGTACTGTACAGTGGTGCCTCGTATAACGTACGCCTCAAATAATGGATGCTGCGAACCACAGACTTTCTGTTTGGTTGTTACATGACTCGAGCAACGGACTGGCTGTGAACAACGGACTTTCCATTCGGCAGTTACGTGAGGTGAACAACAGACTTTCTGCAAACAAGTGCAAATGATGTTTCCACTCTTTTGCCATTGTCAATGACAATCTACTATTTTTAGAATATATTAGTATTATTAGAATATATTATTAGTATATCTGAAGTACAGAGCTCCCATTGGGATTCAGCTTGCTCCCTTGTTTATTACGTACATCACCTCAGTGCAGGATATTTACATTTATTCAAGTGTTGTGCAAATCATGGCTTCTAAAAAAAACAGAAAGGTGATTTCAATTGAATCAAATTGAATTCAAAGCAAGAAATCATCAGAAAGAGTGAAAGTGGGGTAAAACAGTGTGACTTTGTCAAAGAGTTTCGTCTCAGCAAGACCACCATCAACACCATTTTAAGCAAGAAAGACGCCATCAAGTCAGCCAAGGGAGTCTCCAAGATATTCCATGTGAAGTATAGGTCTTCACTCCATTACGAAATGGAAAGGCTGTTGATGGTTTGGATGAATAACAGGCAGATAAGAGGTGATATCTCTAACCAAGAAGTCAAAAAGTCAAACTCATCTATGACGAGTTGAAGAAAAACACCTGGAATAAGCAGCAGCAGTGGCAATGAAGAAAAGGAGTTTAAAGCCAGCAAGGGGGTGGTTTTTTAGGTTCAAGAAAAATCAGTGTCATCATGCATGGTGAGGCTGGCAGTAATGACAAGGAAGAAGCAGAGAAGTTCTCTGTTGATTTTCAACAATTTCTCAAGAAGGAAGGATACTGCCCACAACAAGTTTTTACTGCTGACGAAACTGGTCCTTTCTGGAATAAGATGCCCAACAGGATCTTCATTACCTAGGAGGAAAAGACTTTGCCTGGACACAAGCCCATGAAGGACAGGCTGACACTCCTGTTTACAGCCAATGCCAGCGGAGACCTGAAGATCAAACCCCTGCTGGTTTACCATTCTGAAAATCCCAGGATTTTCAAGAAGAACTGCATTGTCAAGTCCAACCTGCCTGTCCATTGGAAGTCCAACCAAAAAGCCTGGGTGACCCAGGCTGTCTTCAAGGAATGGATCCTGGAAACTTTTGCTCCTGCTGCAAAGAAATACCTGCTGATACTGGACAATGCCCCTGGTCATCCAAAAGACCTGGAGGAGATCCTGGAAGAAAGCTATCCTTTCATTAAGGTGCAGTATCTGCCAGCAAACACCACTGCCATCCTTCAGCCAATGGATCAGCAAGTCATTGCAAACTTCAAAAAACTGTACACCAGAGCTCTCTTCATGATGGTGTTTGAAGAATGTCAGCTTTGTGGAGACATGACTGTCTGAAAGTTCTGGAAAGAGAAGTTTGATGTTCTTGTGGCAATCAGACTCATCCAGAAGGCCTAGGGAGAAGTCATGCAGAAGACCCTCAATTCAGCCTGGAAGAGGCTTGTTCCTGAATGGACCCAGGAAGAACCAGCTGAGGATACAGAAGTGGTGCAGGAGATCATCATCATCTCGACGGCACCACTTCTGTACGATGTGGAGGAGCGCACTGAAGAATACCAAGAAAAGCTGACAACTGAAGAGCTCCAAGCACTTCTGGCCCAGGAACATGATGACGCTCAAAGGAAAGCTTCATCTGACAACAAGGAGGAGCAATACAACTGCTTTTAACTGCTGCCATCAAGGACTTCCTTGTCAAATGGGGAGAGGTTCAGGAGTTTACCAACACCTCTACAATGACACTCTTGTCTGTCATTTCTGACAGGTGTTGAAGAAGAGAGAGAAACAGACCACCTTGGACATGTTTTTCAAGAAGCCAGCCACCAAAAAACAAAGGATGGAACAAGAGGAGTTGACCCTGCAAGCCCCGGTAGCCTCTCCTGAATCTGACTCCGATTAAAAAACAATAAAAAGAGATCTGCTGCAATGTGTAAAAAGTGTGTGTTTGTATGAATATGTGAAGAAAGTGTTCCTCCACCTCCTCCTCATAACATCTGACTACCTGGCATAATTGGTGACTGCTCCATTTTCATTTTTTTTAAATGGTACAGTATGGTTATTTTATGATGCGGAATGAATTAGATGTTTTAACATGTATTTCTATGGGAAAATGCGTTTCGTATAACAGACTTTTCACTTAACAGACGAGCACCTGAAACGGATTAAGTACATTATACAAGACATCACTGTAATTAGAATAAATTAAGATAGCTAATAAACATAAAACTAAAATTTAAAATAATAAATGACACAACCAGATTTTAATTGAGTTATAATATGAGTAATTTGTTATAAAGATATTAAGAAATTTGGACTAAAGGTAGGTGGTTAAACAGCCATTTTTGTTATATTAAATAATTAGAAATAAATTATTTATTATTCAATCTTCTCTCTCTCAGAATATTCTAAATTAAATTTATTTTTAATTAATAAATTTAATACAATAATGTGAAAAGACAAAAACTGCTAAAAATTGATTAATCTTAAAAAAATCACCATCCCAAAAATACAATTTGTTTCCATCGACTTGGAATACCTGCATCTCATCACAATTACACAATACATGAAGTTGTCAAGGATCTCAGTCCATCAATAAACATACCTCTGTATTTCAAATCTAAGCATTCCATCTCATATAGTTCAGATTTAAATTTTAAAAACCTAAAGACGTCCATTATATGTGGAGGAAAACATTCACTGCTGTGAGTTTTATCATTTCTAATGGTTTTTGATTTCGGGGGTGGTAGTTTATACATGGTGGCTTAACCATCTAAATTTAATCTAAATTGTGTAATATTTCTAAAATTAATTAGCCACAGTATAACCAGATTAAAATTTAGCAATATTATCTATTTATTCCTAAGTGTCAAAGTTGGTTTATATATAATTAAGATTAACATAAATTGAAATTAAATCATAGTTTTGATGTTAATTATGTCATTACTTTGTGAAAGTAACTTTTTAAAAATATCTATGGATTATATGTTTGAATCTGAGAATATAATAGATTATTATAATTATTATTATTGCTATTATTGTACAACAAGTAATAAATAAAATCACATAAGATATGGAATATAGAAAGAATTTTTCTGGCCTGGTTTTTGGACATGTATTTCACAGATCTTGGCTTTAGTATAAAAACAAACTCTTTCCTGCTATAAAAAACCAAATAGAATACTCTACATTTTTCTGATTTAAGTTAATTTGAATTAGATTATACTAGTTTATACTAGACTAGCAGACCCCGCCACGCGTTGTTGTGGCTCAAAATGTATCTATTATAAATGTATAACACATCCCCTGTGGAGAGGGGAGAATTTTCCCTTCTTATTGTACATTCTGTTGATGTACCGTATTAAAATGCAATCAAAAATGCAAAAAACTGCATCTAAAATAGTATAATAGAAGCCAAGTTCTTTATGGTAAGCCTTAATCCTGTCCATCTCCCCTCCAATGGGGGAAATTTCGACACGTATATTATATATAAACACGCGCGTATTCGAATGCAGTGTTGTGTCAAAATTTCAAAGGAATCGGTAGGAACAAACGAACATTACATTTTTATTTATATAGATAGATAGATAGATAGAAGATGATCTGCTTTAGTTCATCCTCACAGAAAAGCAAACTTAGGGCGTTGTACTCATAGCGCCATCTGTTGGACATAAAAGCCTTAACCCTAGATGATACCTTTTAATTTATATGAATGTTTAACGGACTAATATACAGCCTATGTCCACCCTGAAGTTCCATATTGTAAATATGTAAATATTGGTGAAAGAATTTTTGAAATCGGATGAGTAGTTTCGGAGATTAGTCCTTGCATACAAACTTACAAACATTACCTCTTTATAATATTAGTATAGATGAATAACAAAAAGTTGCACAAAGTTTTATTCTGAAATTTACTGTTCTACCTAAATCAATTCATTAAGGAGTGTATGAAATAATTCAAAATATTTCTGCAATTGTGGACAAACAGGAATCATTTTTTATGTTTAGTTTTAGTGAGTTAATAAAAAGATATCTACAGTAGAGCATTGATTATCCGATCCCTGATTAACCATCACATTGGTTAACCGACCATTCTAGTCGGCAAATTTCAGATGTCTGCTAGTAATGTGGCACTACAATATTTGGCTATGTCTTGGCTACTTTAATATTATTTTTGTTAAATTTTTGCGTGTTTTAGCTGGCAACACTGACTTGACCATTGAAGGGAAGCCAGTATTTAAACGAGACTTAATTTTCTAATTATGAGTGGTTGTTTCTTTTGTGAGCAATAAAATAATTTTAAAATAATTTTTAACGATACATAGCAATGATTATTATTTTAAAAAAAATTTGTTAGGCTTAACATCAATGAAAATTCAACGCAAAGTTGGTTAATAGCAATATACTAATATACTAATTACATGGGATATACTAATATACTATATTAATAATGTATTTTTTTTCATTCTTTTCGGTTATCCGACCAACCTGAGTCCCCAATTGAGTCGGATAATCGATGCTCTACTGCAGGGGTGGCCAAAACTTGGCGCATTGGACGACTACAAGTGGCGCTTCAGTCGGTTCCGAGCAACATTGCCAGATTTGGCTTCATTGCAATTATTAATATTATATAGGAATTTAATTTTTTACAGTGTGTCTTGGCAAGTGTATTTCTTACACAATTCGGTGCAATCAAACTGTTGACTTTTTTTTTTTTTTTTGCTTCTATGTTACACGATGCATTCGTGTTCATGTACACCACTGATATCATATAGAACTATTTTATATGGGTAGCTACACTACAACCGCATTTTTCATTGCTTGTTCTGTGGCAAATCTGAATTTTCGTCTTATAAATTAAAATACCTAAATAAGGGGTGGCCGAAATTTTTCTCCGCTCCGGGCTGCTAACACTCACAGTACGCCACTGCGCATGTGAACTCATCTATCAAAAAATTGGCGCATGGTATGCAAAAGGTTGGCCACCCCTGCTCTACTGTATCGCCTTGTAGACCTATGTAATTAAAGTATTTTATTTTTTAAATGTGTTAAATACATCAGTAATTTTAATTTTTAAAAAATTACTAAAGTAATTTGGCATTCTATGATTTCATTCAAATCCACATAATTTATCTTAGATATGTTTTGTAAAATAGTTTAATAATGAATAGTTTTGTTTCATATAATCAGACTATAAAATTACCCCATTTTTCAGCTTCAGCTGCTTTCACTCTACTGCCTGTCAACACCATTTCCATTGCTCGTGATTTTCCAATAATACGAGGCAATCTTTGAGTACCACCAGCACCTATAAAATGCTTTAAATGTTAAACACTTAAAAACTTTTTATAAAATTAAAAAAAAATCAATTTAAAAAAAAAATATGTATCTCTTACTGAATGATAAAAATTTGTCATAATTATNTTTAGGTATTCGGTATTCGGCCGAATAGTGATTAAATATTCGGTATTCGGCCGAATAGTGAAAAATAGGCCGAATAGGCCGAATACCGAATAGTAACCGAATATTCGTTACATCACTAATACACATGGTTACTGATAAAGTTCATTTACGCCACTGTATTTTGTATGAATTCCAACAAGGAAGAAATGCTGCAGAAGCATGTAGAAATTTATTGAAAGTGTTTGGTGAAGGTACAGTTTCTGACAGAACATGCAGAAGATAATTTGAAAAATTTCAAATAGATGATTTCGACCTTTCTGATAAGCCACGCTCTGGGAGACCATCTTTGATCGATGATGATGCTGTCAAGATCATGTTAGAGCAAAATCCTTTTTGACAACATCGGAGATTGCGGGAAAGCTTGACTCAGCTCAACAAACCATTTCAAATCATATTCGGAAACTAGGATTGGTGTGGAAATATTTGAGATGGGTGCCACATGAGTTAAGTGAGAAGAATCTGAATGATTGAGTCATCATGTGCACATCTCTGCTTGCACGTAACAAAATCGAACCCTTCTTGGACTGGATGATAACTGGGGATGAAAACCTATGAAAACATCGTGAAGAAAAGGGCATATTGTGAATTCGGAAAACAAGCCCCTCCACCTCTAAACCAAAGTTGAGCCTGAATAAGAGAATGTTGTGTATATGGTGGGACATTCGAGGACTAATACATTTTGAGCTGTTAAAACTGAACAAAAAGCTAAATTCAGAGAGGTACTGTCAGCAATTGGATAATTTAAATACAGCACTCCAAGAAAACAGGCCAGCGATGTTCAATAGGAAGGACATCATACTGTTTCATGATAATGCCAGGCCACATACTGCTTTGGGGACTCGTCAGAAACTCGCAGAGCTAGGCTGGGAAATTCTGTCACATCCACCATACTCCCCGGACCTAGCACCTTCCAATTATCACTTGTTTCTGTCCTTACAAATTTTTTTGCAGGGTTTTTGCCCTGCAAAAAATTTTGTGTAAAAATTCAAAAACTAAGAAAATATCAGACAAGCATTGGTTCAATTTTTCACCGCTAGGAATAAGGCATTTTTTAAAAATGGGATATACAAATTGCCATCATGCTGGCAAGAAGTCATAAATAATGATGGAAATTATATTATTCAATAAAGTTTGGAAAATTTATTATTTTGTTTTATTCTAAAAACGGACAGAACTTTCCAGTAGACCTAATAGTTATTTACAAATAACAGTACATTTTAATACACAAAGTTTGATACAATTAGCAAAGTTTGCATGAAACACACAAAAAAAAAAAAAAAAACAAATATCAATCATCTCTTATTCTAAATTTTCCAATCTAAGCAACAGAACATTCATTAAAACATTCCATCTAAATACATTTTTAAATAAGAAATTTACTATCTTTAACAGACTAACTTAAGCCAGTTAATATCTTCAATTTTTTAATTTTTCTAAAATAAGTAACATTTAGATGGTAAATTTATTTAATTAAATATATAAAATTTAAAGAATATTTACCAAGAACATTGCCAGCATATATAGCAAAACAAATTTCACTTTAAGTCTTCCATATCATTTTATAATGAAATTATAAAATGAAATTACTATACACTTTCCAAAAATAAATAATATTTTATTTCCCTTTTTGTAATGCTCTTATTAAATTCAATCAAGTAACTTTCATGTGATATTTGGGCTGCAATTTTCAAAAATTGTAGACCTATAAATTCCCATTGGCATCAGTTTGTTTGTCCTTCCATGATCTTGAGAACAGAGTTAGATATACAGTCGACCCCCCTATAAGATCATTGATTTTTCCGTTTTATCTGAATTACATGTTGTACGAGTCACTTAGATTTTACAAATGCGTGTGCCGGGCTGTGAACGGCTCACATATTTGTAAAATCTAAGTGACTCGTACAACATGTAATTCAGATAAAACGGAAAAATCAATGATCTTATAGGGGGGTCGACTGTATGACAGTTGAGACCAGGAAAGAAAAACTTAGGGGCAGGAGATCCCAATTAACTATATATGAACTTCCAGTTTAGACTGGAAATCACGTTATTTCAATTCAAAGCTTTTCTCCTGAATAAAGTTATATAGATGACTGGCAAAACTCCATTATTAACAGAAAAAGCATGATATACACGGGAAAGATAGTACTAAAATTGAGAGCATTGTGACCAAAACATTTCAGCCTGGCATTGTGTGAAAATCAAACAAGTAAAAGGGAATGGCCAATTTCAGTCAGTTGTCATCCATTCTTTCAACCGTTCTGATCACGGTGCTGTCTTTTGGATTGATGGAGAGCGCTAAATGGCTTAGTCAATGGATGCAGGAAAATTTTGCTCTGTATTCGAATTGAGTTTTTGCTGAAATTTTTACTTTAAACTCTAAGTGTTATATATTTCTGGATAGCATTTTCTGTGNTAATCCCTGAATGGACGATTAAAATAGATATTTTTTAATGTTAAAGATTCCTTTCTTCATTATAAAAGTAGTTCAAGGATGCAAAAGATAATCTTATATTTAACTTTTCATTTCCTTCTTGATATATTTATAAATCAGATTAAGAAAAAAAAAATTAAATTTTACCTTCTTACACCAATTTACTTTCAGAAATTTCTGCTGTCATTTGTTCTGGAACTATTGTCGGAAGAAAACAGTTCATGGTCATTAAATTCATACTTAAAAAAAGTACAAGAAATTTATTTGTCAATAAATTTTGTGTTTAAAGTACTTTCAAAATTGTTTTTTATTATTCTAATTTATTTTATAAAATTTTAGAACAAGAAAAACATAAAAATTCTAGATGTTAGGCTAGCATTTATCACGAAAAACTGCAGTTATTTTATTAAAATAACGCAGTTTTTTTGTGCTAAAATTTTGTGCCGTTTTTAGAGCATATTTTTTTATTTATAAATTATTTAAAGCTTAAGAGTGTACTTTGAAAGCTAAAAATAAAATAAAAAATTTTTTTGATAATATAATTTACATTAAAAATGTTTTTTTAAAATTTATATTTTATTATTACAATTTATTTTACGAAGTTTCTAGAACTAGAAAAAATATAAAAATTTATATCTCTCGGGTAGTATTTAACACTAAAATATTATATTTACTAAAAATACTTAATATTTATTGAAATTTTAAGCTTTATATTTTAATTTTCATCTTTATAAATTAGTAAAAGGCTTTCAACTAACACAATATACCAATACGTAGAGCTACTTTTTAGCTTATACAGTAATCACACGTGTTCATCAGATAACCCGATTCACCATTTTACCTTCACTTATAAGTTATTAAAAAATATCGAAAGTGTAGTATTCACACTATAAAACTTTTGTTTATCTATCTTGGAATTGTAAAAAATAATTTTATATAATTTGTTATAATTTTTAGATTTAGAATAGATAAAATTCTTAAATTTTATTTATATTCTAAATATAAAATAATAAATATTTTTAGATATAAATATAAATTTGTCATTGAATATGTATGGAATGAACTTTCACTAGTAATCACCTTGAATGAGTCAGAAATATAACTACTTTAACATGGAAAGTGGGTCGCATTATAAAAAAAATTTTTAAAGTATATTTTAAATATTTTAGGAAGTATTTTTAGAATAACAATAATGCATTAACAGAATTTTTGAATATAATATTTTTATCTTTCTTTCAAATTAATTTCTTAAAATAATAAAATAAATCTTTTAATTAAATAAATAAATAAAAATCTTAAATGCAAGATAAAGTGTTTTTTTATTTTTTTAATTTTGGAAGTTTTAAGTTTAAAAATTACACCTTTTAGAGAAACATTTAAATATTTTATTATACTGTATAAAAAGGTGGCTCAAAAATCAATTAATTTTGTTATTAAATATAAATACATACCATTGATAAAAATATATGTACACTTATAACATTGTTAATTGACTTTTGGGCAACCCTGCAGACGAAACATGAGTATCAGTCTTTTATTAAAGTTTAAAAGTAGTTTATTCATATATAGGTTAGTTTGTACATAATTATATACACAATAGTCAATTAATTATGTCTTGTTTGCTTGCGTGTTTCGGGTATATTTGTGAATATGAATCGTAAAGCGTGAATTTTTTTTATTTTATTTTTTTAAATTTTTCTTTTCACTTTGCTTTGTTCATTAGTGCATACTGTAACTCGGTGGAACTATGTAACGGATATGTTCCTGTAATGCTCACTGCGTGGCAGGACTTTGTACCTTGTTTTAAATGTACAATTAAACTAATGAATGAAAAAAATGTCTTTTGGATTAGTGCTCTTCTGTATTCTTGCCATCCCTCTCTCTACTTGCAGCTTCTCTCCAGAACTGCTAACAAATGCTAAAGATTATATTCTGAAGATTCTCAACAAGAATTCTAGTTCTGACTTGTAAGGTACCAAAAATTTGTAATGTTTCTCTCTGCGAAACTGCAAATACCCTATGTAACGTGTTGTACCAACTTTTGTGCCATCAACAGTGGATCAAGTTAAGTGAGGCTCGAAGTGGGGCAGTCAACAATTATACCATAATAAGTCACAGATTTTATTTCTTCAATTATTTCTGCTTTTACTTTTCCGATTACCAATAAGACCTACAAATTCATCACATATATTATGAGATAAATAGTTTACATTTCCTTGTTCTTGGTATATTTTTGTAGATGTAATTTCAAGAACTCATCACATTTGCTTAGGTATTCCAAGCAAGTTAAATAATTTCCTTTCCTATTGGAATCTTTGCCTTCATTGTGACTCCTAAATCCTAATCCTAAGTGACTCAATAATTTTATTGTCGATACAATTTTTTTCAACACATCTCTCCAATAACGTTCTTCTTTTTTCTTTTTCTGTAATAGTTGATTATCAATTCAATTGAATTTTGTTGATCTTTTATACATAGTACACATGGCTGATATGTGTTCTTTTGAAACTAATGGTCCAATAAAATAACAGCCTTATTACGTAATGATTACTAAGAATGTGGTTGGTATAGGAGGTTGCACGAGGACATGTAAAGATCATAATAAAAATAGTACATCAGACACGTAAGAGAAGAGTAAATGCGATGCTGAATGAAAGGAACACGACAGATACAACACATGCACAATATCTATTGTGCAATCGAAACATCGTTCAAATTTTTCTTTTTAAAAAATTGCGTGACGGTGTTTGAGAATAAGGAATCCAACCGTTTTACCTGAAGAAGGACATGGAAGGTGTTTGGAAAATGTTTGTTTTTACAAAATTATTTATTTTTGTATTTCTACACACCAGTTAGAGGCACGAGTAAGTACGTTTTTGTTTAAAATAACAGTAATTAATCTCCAATTTTGCAAATCAGTTATTAATTTAGATGGTTGATTGGTTGGTTGGTGTTTTATGGCAAGCTGCACCATGCCAATATTAATTTTGACTTTGATGTTGAAAAGAGTTTGCAACGGTAGCATTAAACACTTTTGCTTGTACTTAAAAAAAAACCTATTCCAGCAGTTAATTTTTAATTCATCTAATGCTTTCAGCTATCTGTGTAGCCACCTTCAGAATCAAATACATTTTGAATAGAATTCTTTAAATTAATGTTTAAATACTGTATTCTAAACGAGAATTATTTAAATACATAAAACTGAATAAATTAAGAATACAAATAAATGTGTACAATATTGACAAAGATATATAGAATAAAATAAATAAATAAAAATAAATGTAAAAATAAAAATAAATAAATGCGTAAATGAAATATTTATTTTAGTCTTCGATATCACTGTTCACTGCATTGAGAAAGTACTTCCAAGCTGTTGATAAACAAGTGGCATCTTTATGGTTTATGCACAAATTCGTGACACTGTGCTTATATATGTATATATTTTCAAGAATTTTACCTGCTTGTTGATCCCCCTATTGTTTTTAAAAGCTTAGCTTCATTAAAGTTTGGTCTATTTTCTGGTACAGTGGCTATTATAGATAGGGCAGTTGTGGTTTTGCCTTTACGTACATCATATTGATGCTCTAAGTTTTGTAGGGAGGTTTCTGGAAATGTATCCTAATTAAGATAAAATAACAAATAAGGACAAAAACAGTAAAAATAATTAATAAAAGATTTGCAGATGTGTGTTAAACTCAGGTATTTATTAAAAAATTTCTATATATTTTAAAACATCTGCCAGTTTTTAAATAAACAATATATAGTTTTGTTTCATAAAAATAATGTGTAATCAGGGTTACTTAGGGGGTTGTTTGGAAGATAATACCTATCCAGAAAATGAAAAATAGTGTTTTGGTGTGGAGCATGGAGCTGGAGCAATAAGTTTTTGCCTGGAGCTGGAGCGCACATAATTTTGATTGCTCTAGTCTTTTTGTATTAATATTTTTTTGACATTTAACAAGCATATCATCATGCAATGACCATTAATTATTTGTTAATTATTCGTGTAATGACTGTTAATTTGACATTTGGCTTTACATTTGATATTTTGGCTTTTTGCATTTGATATATTTGTACAGTGACTGTTAATTTCAATGAAGTGTGAACACAATCAACCACATACAGAAGTTTCATAAAAAGTATTTAATTATTTAATAAGAATATAAATCCATTTATACTACAACTAGGTAAGTCATACATATGGATAATATGTTAGTTTTTATTTTGTTCATTGTTTTAGTCAATACAGGTTAAATCAATTAAGATGTCGTCAACAAAGAAAAATTAAAATTGATTAACAGCCAATTTACAAAAGAGGATTTGAATCTGAAAAAAAAAAAAAAAAAAAAAAAAAAATTGGCAATATGCAAGAAAGTGAGAGACGAACTCAAACAATACAACTTTAATTTCAAGACTAGCAATACAAGTGGAACCAAAGAAAAATGTAATTATCCAGAAATTTATAAAGCTTCAATTAAAAGGAAAGACAAAAAATATAAAGCAAAGACTGCCATGACAAAACAACATTTTGGTTCTGAAAAAAATAGTACTCGCAGAGCATGATCTAATAAGAAATCCAAAATGGATGAATTAAAAATTGATTCATATTTCAATTTGTCAAGAATTACAGTCACTGTGAATGCTAACATTTTTCATGAAGGTCTTGTGGAAATGGTTTGCTTGAGTGCAACATCCTTCACTGCATTTGAACTTAAGAACAAAGGATTTCAAAAAACTTGCAGTTGAAATGGGTTGACAACTTGGAGTTTCAATAGGACATGATGTAGTTCATCATTTAGTTATCAGCACAGCTGAGTCTGGTCATGTTGATCACTCAGAAACATTAAAAAATATTGTGCTACTTGTGCTACTTGAAGATAAACAGGACAACCCATAGAAACAGAAATTTTCTCACAGTCAATGAGCAATTCTCGAAGAAAAGAGAAATAAAGTTGTTATAAAAACATTGGATATTGTTGATACTGAAGGACATAATTCTTTTTATGTGAAAAACCAGGTTACCTGGACCGCCAGACTTAAAATAACATCAGTATTTGGGTTGATTCAAAATTACCCAGAGAGAATTCAAGTTGCTTGTCATATTGCAACATGTATGCTCACTACACAATGTCAAGCAATTATTTTCCATTCTAAGAAATGACTTCAATTGCTTTAGTCACTTTTTGTGAAAAATGACTTTAAAGCAAGGATCGGGGTGATCCTTGCTTTAAAGTCATTTTTCACAAAAGTTGCAGTGAATTTTGTTTTATAGCATCAATTGACTGAAAATGACAACAACAAAGTGAAAATTTTAGTCTAGGAAACAGGAAAACATCACACAGTGCCATATCAGGTGAATATACAGCTTGTGGAACCATATTTATTGAGTTTTTGGTCCAAAATTAACAAACAACAAGAGCAGGAGCGACATTGTATTGTGAGCAGGTGCATTGTTACAATGCAAAATTTACGAGTTTTCTCAGCACAAAACAAATCAGGTCTTTTTCTACAAATTGCTTCATACAAACAATGCAAAATGCTCAAATAATATTCTTTGTTGATAATTTGGCCAGTTGGAAGGAATTTTTGATGCACAACACCACATATAATATATTATAAACTGATACATGATAAAAACTATACTATCAACTCTGGCAAGCAAAAAGCTGGATTTTTCCATAAAAACAACATACTGGTTCACTGTAATATCTACAGTAGGGAATATCTGACAAAACGTCATACACCTATACTTTTACAGTTTTCTTTACTCAGTGAACTCACTCCTGTAGTCTATATTGATGAAGACATGGTTGTGGCTCTAGTGAAAATTATGGATTCATATAAAGTATTTTGATGATTGCACTCAAGGAGGTAATGTATGTAGAATGGGTACAAGACTAAATGTTTTAATAAGTGCTAAAATGTGAGAAGTGGATAGAATGTGCTTATTTTGAAAGTAATCTTCTGTAAATATAGTTGTAATTTAAGTTGTAATACAGTACTAGTCTAAAATCAAAAACAAGCATATAAAATTGAAATAATTGAGTATTATGTTTTAATTATATTGTAATGCTTAAAAATTAATAAAATATAATTATTTTTGAATTTTTGATTTTTTTAAATATAAATGTATTTTAATGTCATATTTATTTCAATAAAAATAGAATTACTAAAAACTTACCTGGAATTGTTCCTAGATTAATTTCAGGTTGAGAAAACTGTGCATTTTCTCCAGCATAAATTATATCACACATCATAGCTAACTCACATCCTCCACCAAACTAAAAAGTTTTGTTATATAGAAATAAGTTTAATTTTTTTATATTAAAGAATTACAAAATTTAAGGTTTTCTTTTTAAAGATAAATGTTTTATTTTTTTAAGAGACAAGAATAATAATTTATTTATTTATTATTTTAAAATTATTAATATGTGATAAAAAAGAATAAAATGATCTACTGAATTCAGTTTTCAATTATGTATTTAACAATTGGCAACTTCAAAATATTATTATTAGCAATAAATGAAAGCCAAAAGAAGAAACTCTAGAAACATATTAGAATATATTCCTGAGAATCATAAATGCTATCATGATTTATAAAAATATGTCCATTTCAAATCATCCATTAATGTTAAAAACCCAAAATTAGTTTTATATGTAAATATATAAACAGTGTATATATATATATATATATACACACACTGTTTATATATATAGTTTTATATCTAGTTTTAAATATANTCAAGTGATTTTGAGTTTCATTATCTAACTAAACACCAATCGTATGCCGAAAATCTATCGGGCTAGTTTTAGGCTAATTACTAAATGAATTACGTAACCAATTTGGCTCTAGAGGTAGGCGTTAGGTGCCATCTCCTATTAAAATTAATAAGAGATGGCACCAATCGTATGCCCGATTTTCAGCATACGATTGGTGTTTAGTTAAGTTATATATCGGGTTTAGAATATTTGTTTCATTATCTATTTTCAAACAGTATAGACTACAAAAACAAAAAAAAGTTTAAATTCTTAATTCAAGATTAAAATTGCAATTTTCAGAATTACTATGGAATTATAGAAAGAAACTTCTATTCCCTATAATTTTAATGTATTTCTATTTAGTAAAAAATGATAATTAGTACAAGTAATAATTAATCTTACTTTGTGTGATCTCTTAATATTTGCATGCAAATAGTAAGAAATGGAACCTCTGTATAAAATTACCATCACATTGTATATATGTTACTGTGAAAGACCAATATTTGTGAATGTCGACACAGACAACTGTGTGAATGTTGATATTCCCCCCATTTCGGTCATTCACAGTAACATATATAAACAATGACAATCATTTCAATTTATATTATTGTTGTAAAGCAGGGTGCCACTGAACAAAAAGTTTAGTAATTTGATTTGATAGCAGAAATAATGTTGGAAAGGTGCAGTCAGGATTCCAATGTTTCATTTCATTCTATTTCTGCTTGTATATTGTATTATGTAAAGTTACCAGTGGAAATAAATGTTGAATTTTGTGTGAGTGCCTATTGCTAAGTAAGTAGTCCTTTGTCTGCATCCTTAAGATATTATTTATGTGAGGACCAGAATTTTAGTGTTTTAAACTAAAATATTTTTTTATAAACTTTATAAAGACGGAACAAGAAAACAGAAAATTAAAAGAGAAAAAGGAAAAATAAAATCAATAAAAACTCGATTCCCACGAGTTGGGTTCCTTGTTGAGATGAGTACATTTCTGTGTCACGATTGTGTCACCCATCCCCTCATTGGACCAAGAAGATCGTCATCGCTGACAAAATCGGAGAAAAGTTCGAAAAAGAGGACTTGATATAAAAGGGCCAGGCATGATGAGTAAGGGTGTGGAAGTTATTATTAGTGCCTGTGTGTGCGCTCCAAACATCTACCTCCCACCAAGATTCCGTCAACCAACACCTCCTTCTCAACTACAAGACTAGAAGACCTCAACGGAAATTTTTCTACTCACCTAAAAAGAACTGTTGGACCTTTTGTGCTGGACTTGATCTCTTAGGTATTTAGGTAGGAATCTAAGGTATTTATCCTGTCCGCACACTATTGTACGCTCTCTCTCTCTCCGCGTAAACAAAACACGCACCCGGTCGTTAATTTGAACTAAAAATTGAGTAATAACTGAACCCTACTCATGTAGTTTATGTTCGCATTTTATTCGCTGATGTAAACCTAGTTTAGATTATATATAAATAAAATTCCAAATTATGTTTTTATGTTTAAAACTTCTGGAGTGCAGTTTCTTCCGTTTTTCTCTCAGTTTCTCCATTCCAGGTCCAACCCTCATACCTATCCGCTCGCGCAAACTTGTGGTCTCTGTATCAACCGAAGGATACAGTGGTGTCATCCTGACGGGGTATCGAAGAGATATCGACCCTATGGTCACATTTATGCCAATATGTTACACTTATTTTCTTATTGCTAGCAATAATTTTAAAACAGAACTAATTTCATTTCATTAAAATAATTCATTATACTATATTGATCTACAGAAATAGTTCTTAGAAACTTAAATAAAGGAGGGTGTTATTTTGTAATTATTTTAAGTAAAGTTAAAATTTTTTGTCTATAATTTGGAATTTTATTTAACATTATTATAATTCCTATACAGGTAACCCCCGTATAACATGGCACTTCTATAGCACGGGTTCACTCTAACATGGTTCGGGAATTGGGTAAAAAAAAACCCTCGTATAACATGAAATGTAATAAAGGGTGCGTTCTTTTATACTTCCGCGTAACTCCATGCGAGCATTCTAATTGTTTTCATGGATACTTTGAATGCTCTTTCAACAATAACCCATTTAATGGTTAAATTTTACAATTGAGACCCTTCTTTTGCCTCTAAAAGCTCATTTTAGAATTATAGATTCCTCCATCATGATACTATCAATAGTGCAGGTGCCGCCATCTTTCTTTTACCATCGTTTCTAAATGCCTACAAACAGCAGCGTTGTAGAGCGACCACTATTAACGAACGCACCCAAAAACTGTTATCAGTTGATGATGCTCATGCTGAGATCATCATATAGGATGAATAATCCTCTGGTAAAATATTTACTTAAATAATAAATAGGTATTTTACCTATGAAAAAATGAAGAATAAATCCGATTTAAATAAGGATTTAATAGCATGTTTTTTAATTTTTGGAACCTAACCCCCTATTTCGCACTAGTTCTTTGTTTCATATAACATGGATTTGCATGACACGGCAATTTTTTGGAGTGTGTTATACGAGGGTTACTTGTAATTTTGTAATATTTATGTGTTTTAATATAGTTTTACTAGTGATATTGCATAATATAAACATTTATCTTAAGTTTTCCTCGTATTCCTGACAAATTTCGCAGGAAAGTTTTTGCTCGAAACACGTGTTTTTAAATCGAAACGACTTAGTTTTGGGATTTAAAAGACATTTTATAATAAATTTGAAATGGAGTATAAAGAAATTAAAAATTCTAAATTTTAATTGAATATTCAATATTTATTTTTCGGCTTTAATAACGTGTATTTCATTATAAAAATCATTAAGAGTTATTTCTTATAGATTTAAGATGTGGAATGTTTTAACAGTTAAAATAATACGAAATTTTTCAGCCACTTTAATATCAAATATAATTTTTGCTATTAAAAATAACAAAATTATCTAAATTAGAATGCAAATAAAATAGGACAATACAAAATTAATGGATAAAATAATTATTTATTTGTTTTTAAATTATGTTAAAATAATGGTATTAATATACATTATGTTGTGTAAAAACAGATTATACAAATTTATAATATCCCCTATTTTATAATTATGTAGATAAATAAATAATAAATTTTGCATTTTTTCAGCTATCATTTCAAAATATAATAATGATGATATTTTCTATTGGATTTCTTGTTAATAAGAGCATATATGAATTTATAATTTCCAATTTTAAAAGTTTTATATAGTGCTTCATAAATTATTATTATTTACAACTCGATACATTTAGGTTTATACTATATTTGTGTTTCAAACTACAATAATTTAATGTTAATAGTTGTTTAATTAATAAATTTATATAATGTCGAAAGTTTTCATAACAAAATCTTGATATTATTAATTTATTCTCTAGTATGAATAATATATTATTATTTTTATTGCGTTATTCTCACGGGCTACTCTCTATTTGAAATAATAGAGATTTGTCATTTTTGCCATTTCGTCTANTCGGTTAATTAATAGTGTTTTTAGTGATGACGAAGAAAACATTGTTTAATTTATATTAATATGTATCACTTAAAAAAATTTTTTATGAAGATATTTATCTTAATTATGAAAATATACTAGCATGTTTTTTAATTTTTGGAACCTAACCCTCCTTTTCGTATTAGTTCTTTGTTTCGTATAGCATGGATTCGCATAACATGGCAATTTTTTGGAACGTAACTACCGTGTTATACGGTGGTTACCTGTATATATATATATACACACAGGGTGTTTATTTTTATCTTGAGACAATAAAATAACTTAATTTGATTTCATTATTTTGGCAAAAACATATGGACAAAAGTTGTAGAGTTTCAAAGGGCCAATCAAATGATGACCTCGGATGTGACCTTGACCTTCAAAGTCAAGGTCACTTCAGGGTCAAGTGTGTTTTTTTCAATGGGAACACCTATTTTTGACCCTGGAAGTGGAAAGAGCAGGAAACTTCACAACCTGATATACCTTTGACCTGATGGTCTAGGTCAAAGGTCAAGTTTTTTTAAGGTTTAAAAGCTTTAATTTTATTTAAAGGTTTAAAAGCTTATAATTTAAACCTTAAAATAATCTTGACTTTTGACCTAGACCATAAGGTCAAAAGTATATCCAGATGTGAAATTTCCCACTCTTTCCATTGCTGGGATAAAAAATGTGTGTTCCCATTGAAAAAAACAGACTTGACCTGAAGTGACCTTGAGGGTCAAGGTCGCATCCAAGGTCACCAATTGATTGGCCCTTCGAAACCCTACAACTTTTGTCTATACCTTTTTCCCAAAATAATGAAATCTAATTAAATTATTTCATTGTCCCAAGATAAAAAAAACACCCTGTATATATTTAATCAGATATCAAGCTATTAATTATGGTTATAAATTTCTAGCATGATATAGGAGTCCCTGAAAATAAATAATAAAATCAAATCTGACAAAATATTTAAATAAAACTATCATCAGTGTTAGAAATTTTATTATTTTGTAAATTGTTTTGATTACATTGAAATTGAAATATTAGTGCTTTGTTAACAATTTAATATTAATACTATAAAACATCCAAACAATATTAACAGTTTAAAATTAACAATTAAAACAGATGCATTTTATAACTTACTGCATATCCATTAACTGCAGCAATAACAGGTTTGATAGTTTTAGAAACAGAATCCCACTGAGAAAGAAAATTTCCAGTGAAACAATCTTTAAATTTCTTATCTTCCATTTCTTTAATATCTGCTCCAGCTGAAAAATTTATAAAATATTCTTTTTTAATAATAAAATGTTATTAAAAAGGAATTTTTAAATTATTTTTTAAGAATATTTTTGTTACAAATTAATATTAAGAAAATAATAGTTAAAATTATTCATCAATAGAAAATTATTTAAATATCTCATATCCTTGTCCTTCAGTAAATCAAATTAAGATGTATACTATATCTATACTACTATTAGTGATCACTAGAAGAACTTAATGGCATTACAGGAGTCAACATAATTAATTTGATTAAGAACTTTTCAAGATTTTCACTCCCATCCTCAGATAAACAATGATGTTTGATTCAAATTATCAGAATGTACAGTAGTCAGAAATGTAGTCATGGGAAAGCAAGGGAGTGGTGTTTCCCAAACTAATGCTCTTTTGCTCCTCACTCTGCCAGTCATCAAAGTCCCACTAAGGCTTAAAAGTAAATACTCAACCAAATTTTTCCACTCTTTCCTTGCAATAAACTTTTCAATTAATCATCCTAATCAAATATCACTCTTCAAATTGTAGACCATTCCTTCTTTTCCCATTTCTGCTGCATGGCTCGCACTGCTCTTAACAATAAAAAATAATATAACTAGATAAACAAGAAGAAGAAGTGAGTCAGTCTACAGGTCAAGTATCCAGCACTGGACCTCTCCAACGAAAAGAGTCGTCACCATTCCACACCACACAGGACTACACACCTGGACCATGTTCAGTAATGCAGAATTCTTGCAAGTCTATTTATGCTGCAATGTTGAACTCATTTCTAACTACTGCTTGACTCCTCCCACCACTAGCTTCTTTTATCTATTCTTAGCTCAGCCCACTAAGCCACTCAGAATTCTAACCTAGGTGTTCTGCATTACTGAACACGGCCCTGTTGGAGACTGTGTAGTGAACCTTATCTTCAACTTTTCTCATAAGCATTATCTCTCCCTCAAGTGGTAAAGTTCTCCAGCACTCCCCTTGCACTTTTATCCCCTAAACATATTCTATATGTATTATTCGATGTTTCCCTGGCTGATCAGGAAAATTCTCTGACCAGGTGGAATTTTTCCGGTTTCCTCCACCTCCTTTCTTCTCAAATGGGGGTTAGCTCCCCTTTAACATTTACAGACCTCCCGGAAGGCTGTCACACATACCAACAGTGATATTGCAGTCCTCTCAAAATTCTATTCCAAATTTGCTGGAGCTCTTTATTGCTGGATTTCTCACTGTGTCTTCACTTCCTCATCTGCTCTGAGACATCCAAAAAACTGGTTAGGTCAGGTGGGTTAGAAATGCATACTGCAACTATCCTATCTATCTTTCCCTTCCTCTTGATCAATGAAAAATTTGGTAAGTTAAATAAACATTACATAAAATATAACACGCAGAATAAAAACTAAGACATAACAAAAAAAACGTAAATTTTTCATAGGCGTCCCAAATAGGGCTCATAATTGCTAGTCCCTCACAAGGGACTAGCAATTATGAGCCCTATTTGGGATGCCTATGAGCCCACTTAGGGACACTAACCAACGCAAACCCTCTTATACACATAATATTCTTGACCTCTTTGTGCTCTCTGAGCAGTAAGGGGACTAAAACCACAAATAAAAAAAAGAAAAAGAAAAAAAAGGCTTAAAAGTCAACAACATAAAAAAGAATGTCAAAAGATCTAGACAAAACAGAAAAAGAGAATCAAATACTAGGCTATATGAACATCCACAAGGTAAAGAATGAAATTCACTATATATTCTTGATCAATCTTTTTTTTTTCATTGAGCACTGTCATGTGTAAATTATCACTAGTTTGCATACCTATAAGGAGTTGCCTTACCAATATGATAGCTCCTTGCACAATAATGTGTTGCTAGTGATCATAGGCTAATGCTTTTCCTTTCAGTAGCCTACCAACCTACACTGTAGCCACTCAAGCCATCAGTCATGAACCTGGGTGATCCACACTCAGAAATTTCTGGAAATAGAAACAAACAACAACAACCAAATCACATCAACAAAGTGTCAATACCAAGCAACTGCCTCAAACCCAAAATGATGCCACCCTGAGAAATGAAAATGACAGGAACAATAAAAACAAACCTCCCCAAAAAGTTCTTCCAATCAGAACCTATTTTCCTGGTAGTTTGACCTGAAGATAGAAGTGATTCTTCCAAAAATCTTAAATTATTTTGACTCCTTTAACACTTTTGAGTTCCTCTTTCTTAATGTATACTAATGGAATCATCTGTTCCTGTTTCATGAATTTCAAACAAAAAAGCAGTACACTTTGTATAACTCCAGCAGTATTAAACAAAAATAGACTAAAAATATTTTCAATCTACTATCATAGGCCTACTTAAGTTGGAACATCAAACAGCTACCAGATGCACTTACGGAATATAAATGCCATTGAAAAAATCTCAACACCTTGGTCTTAGTGGCTTATGCTTCCCAGCAGGACATAAATAAAATGGGATGAGGCTAAGATCATTAGGCCTGCCAGGAGCCCTAACACTATCAAGTTCTTGTAGTTATTAGAAATTAAAGCTAATAGAAAATGCTTTTGTAGCAATCATAGGAATGTTGACACATTAATTAATAATGACATAGAAATCTGTATATGAGTTCTAACTTGGGCTTGATCCTCCAATAATTTTTTATTGTTTAATTTAATTTAATTTTATTTTTGTACCATTTATGTTTGCTTGTATCTATGCTTTTAAGTTTTGATTATAAAATGTATTTTTTATATCTTATATCCCTTTGTTCTATTGATTTAGAATTTTCTTCCCATTCTTTTTTAATTAAAATTTTTTCTGTTCCATTTAATGTTTTTTGAATGTTCTTTTTGTTCTTTTTACACTTAAGTCTTATGTTTCAATTGAAGGCCTATTGAAGTAGGTCAAAAACATTTTTGGTTAATTAAATACAGTAGAGCGTCGTTTATCCGAAGGAATTCCAGTCTACAAATTTAAATTTTCGCCAGTGCTGTAGCGTTGTAATCTTTGGCTATGTCTTCGGCTACTTAAATATTTTACGTTTTTGATACTAAATTAACTTCTCAAGTATAATTTTTTATTGTTTTTATATTNTTCTTTACTTAAATAAATAATAAACATTTCTAAAAAGAATTTGTTAATTATTTAAATTTAATTTAAAAACAGTTAAAATTAATATTGATTTCGAGCAGTTTGGCAGGGACGAGAGTCGATTTACAAGGTATACACAGCTTAGGGCTTTACCATGCGAAACAATTAGAGCTTTACGCTTTTAAATGTATTATTATTTAATGAAGGTGAAAGGGTCTGGCTAAATAAGCTACAATACTTTAAACCGTATCCTTATATCCTATGTTATGAGAATACAGTTTAAGTCCTGAAGTGTAAGGGTCTTATAAAACTTTATACCAAACCATTCTATTTAAAAAAAAATCAACTTGTATTATAAATTCAAAGATCTAAGAGAAATATTTTAAGAATTTTGAATAAAAATTCATATTTTTAATAATAAATATTCGTTAAGTTTGATGAAAATACTCACGCCTTAGCTTTTCTTCACTAACTTGAACGGAGAGCTCGCAATCACGTGGGGACTTTGTGGGAAACACAAATGCGGATGTCCCAGTTGGAGTATTGTTTGGACTCATCATACACAAATGATTTGAATCTAAAGAATAAGGCGATCTTACAGGAGAATATGGGAAAGATGTCTCCGAAGAAGTAAAGTTAAATTTGGCAAAACTGGAACAAAGTGGCGATAAGAGAATAGGCATTGGCCTATGTAAAGATTTAACCGGTGAATAAAGATCCACAGATATGCTCTTTTTCGTAGTTACTTCATCCGGTTTCAGTATATCGTCGATCATAAATGACGTTTGGCCCACAGGTTTCATTGGTTTCGATAAATCTTTAGCTTTACAGTATATCCTGCAGGGTTCAATCATAATGATGTCTTTCATAGATAATCAAATCTGCAATTAAAAATATATTATATACATTTACACATACAAATTTTGTATAAATAACTATACACAAGCATACCTAGACACAGTTATGATCAAAAATAAAATCACCTAACTGAAAATGTAATTAATTTGTATTTATTCATGATTTCAAATGTTATGTATATCTGTATTCAAATCATTAAAAACACTGTGTTATAAAATTCTATAAATTAGAAGTGTACATATTTACATACAGTAAGAGCCCACTTAATGGGATATGCTTGAAACCTAAAAAATCTCAAAATTTATGCTGACTTAAATTATCGTGGCATTTCATTGATTCATATATAATACAATTATTTGTGAACACAAACCAAGGTGGCAAAAAGATGTACTTTCTTTAAATCTATGTTTGTTTGTTTGGTGCAATTTTGGAAAAAATATAACATCATGGAGACCATAGAAAATATTGACTTCACTTGGCAAGAATTAACTAATAAAGCACGAACAAAGAGTAGAAGAAGTTATGGCTGAAGGTAGCCAAGAATTTTCAATGAGAAGAGCTATTGCTGTATCGTTAAGTTGACCAAACTCAACCTAATCGATAGAGCAGAACTAGGAGATATAGATGAGCAGGATGTTGAGGAGTTACAGCAGGTTTCTGGTGAGAGCCTTACCAACGACAACCTTCAAGAACTGGCAGAACATGGAATTCATGTGGAACTGGAAAATAGAGATTCTGAAAACGAAGAACCCAAAAAATTTCTCTACATATTTCCTTAGTAAAAGTTTGGTAATGATAACCGAAATCATTGATCAAATTGTAGCAAATGATCCAGCTTTTGAAAGGAGTGCAAAAGCAAAACGAGGCATTTTGGATGCAATCTTCTGCTACTGACATTTGCTTAAGGAAAGAAAAAAGCGACAAATGAAACTTTACGACTTTATTGCAAAAGAACAAGAATTTCAGAAAAGTCAAGACCTTCATCACAAAAAATGAACTTTACATTTCTGTGTGCATATGTTTGTGTTATTTAACATATATTATTATACAAATTAATATAAAAATAACTTAAAATTAAAGTAAAATTTGTTTATTTTTGGTCACATGTTCCTCTATCCCTATTTACTCTATGTTAAAATGACCTCATTTAATGCCGTTTCACTTAGCGCTTTGTTGTCTAAGAACGCATCTCCCACGTTAAGCGGGGTCTTACAGTACATACATAATATCCCTGCTTTATGTTAAACCATTCCAGAGATTAATCATAAAGTGAATCTGTGGAAAAAAGTGTATTATTGAAATACACTTTTTTTGGTAATTCATCAAAACCTCAGAAATCTTTAACAAGTGATTTTTATAATAGAAACATTACATTCATAAAATGCTTTATTGAATGCAAACTATTAAAATATTTACATTTAGTAAAATCTGAATTATTTCAACAAAATTCCTTTTAAAAAATCAAAAAATAAAAATAACTGTTTTAAAATTAGTTCATAACAAGCTTAAATAATTAAAATAGCTTCTAACAAGATATAACTTCAGACGTAAACAAATTCAGTTTTCTATAGAGATTCACTTTTATTTAATAAAAATTATATATATAATCCTATTATTTTCAACTGTTAGTAATTCAAATGGCTAACACTATGACACAATATATTTTCATAAAGATTTTTAATCAGCATATTACATTTAAAATTTATTTGTAAAAATTGCTGTAGCAATTTTAAAAAGTTATTAAAANATAGAGTCGTGCCGTTGAAAAATGATTTACCATCAGTATTTAAAGTAATAAATTCAAATGAGTTTTTTGAAACTATTGTTATTGATTCTTTGCAATATGCTGATGATGATATTTTAGCCAAAGATTCTATTAATACGCAAGGAAAGTTAAATAAATTAGTTAAATATCCTCATAAAAATGATACATTAAATATGTTATATTACAAAAATTATAAGATAAAGTTTAAACTGTTATAATTAGAAGCCAGGTTTATATGCATTTAAATTCATAATATATATGCATACAAATTCACATAAAAATGCCTGATGTATGCACTGTTATATGCATGTTAAAATTCTTAAAATATAGTATATTATGCATGTCAAAAGCATCATTAATATAGACTAAAATTTGTAGATTGAAATGCACAAGTACAGTGGGTGATTGGTTAATGAACATAATCTGTTCCAAGACTTTGTTTGCTATCCGAATTGTTCGTTAACCAATTATCGATTTACCATAGGTTTCTATGGGAATTTGATTAATTCATTCTGGAAACCCCCCAAAAATAAAAAAAAATATATCCTTTCTGACTACATTTATTCACATGTAATAATAAAAATACATATATACACGGTCTTGCTTTTTTATTAGTCATGTTTTTTCCGTTTGTGGGAGTTAAAGAATCTGCCCAATGTCGCTTGCTTTTCTCTCTTCCTCATGATTTTTTGTAATTAATAGCATTGTAATTGTAGAGATCCCTAGGCCTATTAACCTCAATCTAGTTTGGATGCCATTTTAAGACCATTGTTCTGACATCCTCCCACCTCTTCAAAAGATCTTTAATAACAGATATCGGCATAAATCCACTTTTTCAGAAGAAAACGTAAAAGAATTGTTTCTGTCAGAAATATAAAAGGCTGGAATTACAAGGGAAAGTTTCAAAGTTCGGGGGGATACTATCCAAATTGGTATATACCGGATTGAATGTTGATGTCGACATCTCCCGCGCTCCGAAAAGTTTCAAATTGTTGTCTGAAGACAAAGGAAGACCAATTGGTATTCATTATTTTACATCGCTTCTTCTTGTGTTTATTCAGTGAAGTATTTGTTATCCGAACATGTGTTCGTTGTCCGATCATAAAAATCTTTCGTGAAAGTGTTCGTTATCTGATTTGTTCGTTAACCGATCACCCACTGATTCTGTCTGCAAGCTAAGTGGAAGGGCATAAATTGTTGATGTTTATTAACAATAGGTGACAATTGATTTAAAAATTGACATCACAAAACATGTATTATAATGTTTCATGTAGCCTATATGGTGTGCAATTATGTCAATTATGAATAAAATTACATGTTCAATAAAACTATATAATTTTCTATGCTATCTAATTCATTATTGTTGATTTATTTCTAAATACAGTATAGAATTGTTTACAAGATGTTTGCAGATGACTGGGTTAACCTAGCTTCCCTCATTTTCCCTCATTAATTAATTTAATTAAAGTAGTCAAATATTTTTGTTTATAGCACTATATAAATGTAAGGGAATGAATAAATGCTCTTATTAACTTATCCAGGGGCGGACTGGCCATGTGGAAAATGTGGAAAATTCCACATGAGCCGTATACAATTTGGGCCGTTTTTTTCTAAATATGTACATAACGTACCATTTGGTTAAGTTTAATTTTAAAAAATTCATTTCTTTTTTTGTTAAGTAAGGTAAATTTCAATTTTTAGGTATAATATAGGTATATGTGTAGGCTTGTATCATTTTACCCGGCACTACCCGTATCCGAAGTTAAATTAGTTCGGCCGATCTGAGTCAAACACTACATTAGCTCGATTCGGCCCAAACAGAAAGCATCCTAGGAGAAAAATAATCAAAACTATCTTCTAAACCAGTGTTTCTCAATGGGGGCGATATCGCCCCCATGTGGGCGTTTATCCATGTTGAGGGGCGATTAGTAACAATTTATATTTTGGGGGCAAAAAACAATTTTCTGGGCGATATAGTAAAGCATTATATTAAGAATAATTAGATATTTTATTCGTTATATCATACAATAATTAAACAAATAACATTATACTAGTGACTAGTCTATTCAATGCAGTATGAATTTGGCGTTAGCCTTGGAGTGAAGGGGGCGATACGACGTTGAAGGGGGCGACGATTCGTTAGAGGTTAAGAAATGCTGTTCAAAACAGAGAAAATTGGTCATTTGTTTACATTGCTAGAAACTTCGCCACTCCTATGAATCTTAATGCTAAACTACAGAAATGCACGTTATTAGTTTTGTACCTAGCCACCAAAGCAATGATTGTAGTCATAACAAATTTAATGGCCAAGTATATTATTTTCTTTATTTTAGGCAAGTAAAAAATGTTATTCAATAATAATTTCTCTGTATTCCAAACGATTTAATTAAAAATAATCTATTTTGTAGTGTGAGGCCGGGACCCCACCCCCTCCAATGGGAAACTGGTTGTCGAGCTAAAGCTAATAAATCGACGATTTATTTCGTAAACAGGAACGAGTGTAAGACGATTTAATTGTCGCATTCCAGGACCAAATTCATACGTCCTTGATCTAGATCAGGGAAGGTGGGAGAGAGAGCAACCGGGGAGAGTTCGACTCATTTTACAGCGAGTTCAAAGCACATTAGGGTGCGACTATGCAGACACGAATTTAGAGTGAGCGAGAGGTTGCGAGCGATTTAGTTTTCGCAAAGGAAAACCATGCACAAACGAGAAGCGTGAAATAACGCTGGCGAGAGCGAAATTCTGGTTCTCGCACATATCTGACAGGTTTTGATATTTATCGCTTCTCGCCTCTTCTCGCCACATATTCCCGCTCGCTTGGAAAATTTACTTGCTCGTCTGCATAGTCGCACCCTTAAACCAAAATTTACGGGACCATCACTAAATATTCCTAAAAACACATTTCAAAAATTAGGGAGTATTTTAATACAGTTTAATCCAGTAGCTACTCAACACAATATTATTTCAGAATTGCAATATTTTAAATCGTCATGGAATATTTTAAAGAAAAATGCCAATGAAACTTTTATAAAATTAAATGAAAATGAACATTCTATTGATGATCAAGTAGAAACTAATAAAAATGCAATTTTATCCTCTTACTGCATTGCTTGCAAAAATTGCCCTATTTGTTGTTATAATATATTATTCAGATATAACATGTTAAGTGGCGCTTATTCTCTACTTGGTCAAGCATACAAATATCTGCTATCTACGTCTGTAACACAAGTGTCCAGTGAACAA